TCATTGTGTATGGGAGGATGGGACCAGTTATTGTGTCATGTCGTGTGAAGTTCATTGTGTATGGGAGGATGGGACCAGTTATTGTGTCATGTCGTGTGAAGTTCATTGTGTATGGGAGGAAGGGACCAGTTATTGCCAGGTCAGTAAACTGTAGTTAAAATATCTGTGATTTTGTATTCATTCAGCAACTTGAAGTGTTGTGTATGGATGTGTTGTAGCGACATCACGTAGTTCTGTCATATCCATCAGAAGCAGCAGTCGAGAATCATAGACTAAGAGTCAAGTCGTCAAACATACAGGACTTCATTTCAAACAATAAGACAAGAAATTCCTATTCCAGCGCCTCCATGGTCTAGTGAATAGCATCAGGCTGAAGAGTGGAAGGTCATGGTTCTATCCCCAGCGCATCATTCCTAAAGACGTTAAAAGATGGTACTTGTTGCCACCCTGACTAGCGCTCAGCTTTAAGGGGCTTAAAACAAGGACTGGTCAACTCAGATTCAGCATTATGTGTCTTAAGTGGGGTGTCCATGGTAACGGCTGTGTGGTTTCTCAGTGAGCTAGCACTGTGAATGTGATGTTAGTCCAACTGTTTACAAGTAGACACACATGCACACATGCATGCTGGAACACACCCTCACTCACACATGCATCCAAGTGCAGTCATCTTGAACATAACAGGGGGGCACGGGTGGCCCAGTCGTCTAAGGCACTGTGCAGAGTTGCGTCCCTTGGCCACGCCAGAAACCTATGATTGTGGGTTCGAATCCCGGTTCACCCCGATTGTGTTTCTAGGTTTGTCAGCACCATACCTGTGCTCGTGGGTTTCACCAAAGTGGTAAATGTCTGAGACCTGCATCACTTCGGGCTTTCCTCCCACATCAAGCTGACACGCCGTGATATAACTGGAATACTGTTAAAAGCGGCGTTAAACCCAACTCACTCACTCACTCACTTGAACATAACATATGGGTTCAGGGACCTGTCAGCATAGTCAGTACGAAACCTGTGCTTGTGACTAAAATGGGGTCATTGACCTGCATCATGCTAGGCCTTCCTCACACATACATGCTGGCTGTGATATAGACTTGCACATGTCTCCCAGGCAATAATTATTAGTTTGAATCATAATTTCTTGAATATGTAAATAATAAGAACAAGTTGTCTTAAAAAGTGCCTGGAGTCCTTAAAGACTTGACTATTAGGAGGATAGAATTACTACACATCCATGGACCTATCTTTCAGTACAGCCTTGGAGCAAGGCTAGCTGTGATATAACTGAAATAATGTTTAAAGTGGCCTTGAATCACATGCTGTCCCCCTCTGGTGTGGTAAACCTGGTGGTCAAAGCGTAGTTGTATTCCCCACATGAGTACAGTGTGTGAAGTCCGTACTTGTTGTACCCCGCCGAATATGATAGGGATACTGTTACAATCAGCGTCAGACCATCTCTCTCACTGATTTACTTGCCAAAGTATTGATAACATATCGCAAACTGTGAACGCTAAGACCTGACAGGGGCGGTTTCCTTTAGTTGAGCGTGTCATATGTTGCTGGTATAAGCATCACACTTTAGCCTAGCGGTTAAGGCCCTGGTTTGTTGTGCCAGATTTCTGGGTTCTGTCCCATTTGGATCATATGACTGGAATATCGCTCACTCACTCACTCACTCACTCACTCACTCACTCACTCACTCACTCACTCACTCACTCACTCAACCACTCAACTCAACCACTTGCCCACTCACTCTCACTCACCCACTCACTCACTCACTCACTCACTCACTCAACTCATCCATTTACTCAACCAATTGCCCACTCACTCACTCACTCACTCACTCACTCAACCACTCACTCAACCACTCACTCAACCACTCAACCACTCACTCACTGTGATACAGTGCATATAACATTTCAACTGAACCTTGGTGTAGCTTAGATAAGTTATCAGGATTATAATCATCATCTCCAGTATAACTGTAACATTGTGTACTCAACAACAGACCTTCCTACCTGTTCAGTTACCTGTAATCAACATTAACATCGGCTCCATTCAGCCAGATGTCCAGGTAAACAATTTCACAGCGTTTTACCTGTATTTTCTCTACCCTTACCTGTGCTGCCTGCTGCAGTTGCTACTTTGATCACATGATAATACTCACAGACAGGTAGGTTGTCTTCCACACTGATCCACAAAGGTGTTACTTACCTTTGCTCGTCAATGCCAGGTATGCATTTCAAGTGACAGGTACATACTCCAGTGTTTGATAGTGACTGAGGCCCGGGGTATGGTGTATATCTATATATACCACAACCTTGTCAGTTGATCATGTGATGCATTGGTATTGTCCCACTTACAATGATATACCCGTCATATCAACCCGCCAACCTGCAGGGTCACCGAGCACTCTCTAGGGGTGGCGGTTCTCCAGTCATCACTTGGGAGAAATGTCAGGTCGCGATATGCTTGACAGGTCTCGGTTGTCACATTGCTTGTCACTTGTCCCGGGGTTGAGTCAGTCTTCCATTAAAAATCATATCTTGATGAATTGAAGTAGAAGGCCAGTTTGGCATAGTCTTTCATTGGGCAAAGTGATCTTATTATGTTATTGCCATGACTGACTTGCAATAGTCGTCCATCTCGGTTTTCTAGTTAATAGATTGTCTGCCCAGAGAGCTAAAGGCATGCATGTAGCCATTTAAGTGCAATAATCTTGAACAGGACGTTGAACCCCATATCACATCACCTTACACTAGTCACAGCGTAACAATCTCCTTGTACATGAGTCCCAGTGGGGATGACAGATTAACTGTCCGTGACTATAGCAATACAAAAGAACCGGGTGGTCCTCAACTTCCATTGTGTTCCACTTAACAAAGAAGCTGACTCAGCAATAACTACTATGAGCCCTGAGTCTCTAGGACAGGCTTCAAACATGATAAATTAAATATGTTTTTGATAGGCGGAGATGAGTATTGTAGCAATAAAGATGTCAGTGGCTGTGACAGACATCTACACACAGAAATGTGGGTCGTGTCAGCTTACCTAGGCCCTGGAAGACAAAGTGTATATATATAAATATATATATATGCTTAACCTCTGGGCAGGTGTGTGTGCTTGTCTACTGGGAATATTAGATGGCATATATGTCAAGATAGACACAATTTTATGGATAACAACTTCTTTAATACTGTGAAAAGCGACGTTTCGTTATAGATCCTTATACCGTTGTCAAGCAAGACTGAATGAGGGACATAGTACGGAATATATATAGTAGGTGGAGGATTAACAGTAGAGGATTAACGATAGAGGATTAACAGTAACAACAATTGCATACATGAGTGGGATAACGTTGGTAGGTGTTGACAACAAAGGGATGATGCTGTCACAACAGGATGGACAGAGAACACATAGGTGGAGGCCAATAGGGACATGAAGCCAATAAACAGGATAAGTGATTATTGTTTTATGAGTTCATACTAGGCGGGTGGGATGAAATAGCCATATATGTCCACAAAGTTCCGAAATAATTTCACGGCCCTTCCCCTCACCACCCCCCAACACCACCCCCAAGTGTGCTTGCACATAGACTTAGTGTGTGATATGGGATACTGTGGGTTATAACTACAATGTGGCTGTGCTCTGTACCGGGATGCTTGATGCTCCCATCCACTGCTATCACACCAAGGGTCAGATTCCTTGGCATGCCAGTAGCTTATCACAGCACATGGTCCTGTGTCCAGCGCACAGGTCACAAAATAGGTGAAATGAAGCATGGTTGGTGGTGGTGTGGAGTTGGATGGGTGAGCTGGTTGAGCAGCTTTGACTGACCCACGAGTTTCTATACCTTTCTAGCACTCGTGTCTCCTTAGGCAAGTGACTTTCTTGTGGAAACGTACTCTGCTCACCTTTGTTCACCCAGCAGTGAATGGGGACTCACTCATGGTAATCCTGTAGAGTAAAAACCAGTGCTGCTCGTCCTTGGTGTGGCCATCAGTGATGGGGCGTGATGCATGCAGGTGCTTGTGGATCCACCTCAACCTGCTATGCCATGGTGTGGCCATCAGTGATGGGGCGGGATGCATGCAGGTGCTTGTGGATCCACCTCAACCTGCTATGCCATGGCTGATATGTCCTGTCATCGTCCTATGACAGTGCATCGCACCAACACTTTAGAAGGCACAGTTATTTGACCTGGACTTTGTTGCACCAATAGGAAAAATATATGTGGCAGTGAATTCTGTTTAGCCCCCTTTAAAATACAGTGGCATGGTATACAGGTATATGGAAGCAATGTTGTTAAACCTGCCTTGAGGCTGATATAGTCACAAGTCTGTGCAGATGTCACTAGAAATTCCCCAACTGGACTAACACATTTCCCTGTTCCTGCTGCTATAGATGTAACTAATGTTATGTAGAGGTGATTTAGATTTCACTGATAACAGGACCGACATAGATGAAGAGACTTTTATGTTTGGTTTCACATTATTGCATTAAATCCGATGTTATCCAAAGATAAGAACTAAAAAAAATTGAATTTTGTTCAAAATAATGATTGTCGCAGTTTGCCAGCCAAGGGCACTTAGTTTCGAACCCTAGATAAATCCCTGTACAGACAATACCAGTCTAGTGGGACCTGTGAAGATCCAGAGAAGAATAGGTCTTCAGCAATCCCCTCTTGCTGTAAAAGGCGACATTGTAGTCACTAGCGACTAACAGGATCGGGTGGTCAGACTCGCTGACTTGTTTGATGCATGTTATATTCCAATTGCATTGATTGATGCTCATGATGTCAATCACTGGATTGTCTGGTTCAGACTAGATTATATACGACCACCATCATATAGCTGGAATATTGCAGTGTGTGGCAAACAAACCAAAATCATCTTGAGATAAGCGAAAGAAGTGGTGTAGGTTCAGGGTTCCAGATGAGGGGTTCTGGTGAACTGTAAATACACATTTATTTCTGTAGTGATCTTACATGTACTCTCCTGTTTCAGATGAACTGAAATCCTTAAAGTCGGACCTCTCCAAATCTTCAAAACGTGGAAGAGATGTTGAAATAAAACTAAGTAAATCACTGGTGAGTGTCTTGCGGACAGTATTCATTCCTTTAAAGATTTCTGTCTTCAAGGAATGTTGATTTTGAAATTTCTTCTTTCTTCATAAAAGCAGACTTTGTCTGTAGTCGAGTGAACAGGGCGTCTGCTCGGGGGGTGGAAGGTCAGGGGTTCGGTCTCCGGCTACCTCTGTGGTCTAGTGAATAGGGCGTCTGCTCGGAGGAGGAAGGTCAGGGGTTTGGTCTCCGGCCACCTCTGTGGTCTAGTGAATAGGGCGTCTGCTCGGAGGAGGAAGGTCAGGGGTTCGGTCTCCAGCCACCTCTGTAGTCTAGTAAATAGGGCGTCTGCTCAGAGGAGGAAGGTCAGGGGTTCGGTCTCCAGCCACCGCTGTAGTCTAGTAAATAGGGCGTCTGCTCGGAGGAGGAAGGTCAGGGGTTCGGTCTCCGGCCACCTCTGTAGTCTAGTAAATAGGGCGTCTGCTCAGAGGGTGGAAGGTCAGGGGTTCTGTCTCCAGCCACCTCTGTAGTCTAGTGAATAGGGCGTCTGCTCGGAGGAGGAAGGTCAGGGGTTCGGTCTCCGGCCACCTCTGTAGTCTAGTGAATATGGCATCTGCCCAGAGAGCTAAGGTCAGGGTTTCGATCCCAAAAGGCGTTAAAAGATGATACTTGTTATTCCCCTACCTGGCGCTCGACATTTAAGGGGTCAAAAAAGGAGTGGTCGGCTCGGGAGTATACTATGTCAAAGTGGGGTATTCATGTTAAACAATACAATTGCAGACCCTTCTAAGATGTGATTAGCTCATTTACATGATGAGCCTTTTCACCTTAATCTTTCACAATATAATTACTTTTCTTCCACTAAGGTGAAGAGCCATAAGTTAAATCCATGTTATAGGCAACAAGCACAGTGCACAACTGGTATGTTCTGTAGTGAATAATCGTGTACTTACAGGAGTAATCGTGTACCAAAAGAAGTAATCGTGTACTAACAGGAGTAATTGTGTACTTATAGGGGTAATCGTGTACTTGTAGGAGTAATCGTTTACTTACAGGAGTAATTATGTACTTATTGAAGTAATAGTGTACTTATAGGAGGAATCATGTACTTATAGGAGTAATCATGTACTTACAGGAGTAATTGTGTACCTATAGAAGTAATCGTGTACTTATAGGAGTAATCATGTACTTATAGGAGTAATCGTGTACTTATAGGGGTAATAGTGTACTTATAGTGGTAATCGTGTACTTATAGGAGTAATCATGTACTTATAGGAGTAATAGTGTACTTATAGGGGTAATCGTGTACTTACAGGAGTAATCATGTACTTACAGGAGTAATCATGTACTTATAGGAGTAATCGTGTACTTACAGGAGTAATCATGTACTTATAGAAATACTTGTGTACTAATAGGAGTAATCATGTACTTATAGGAGTAATTGTGTACTTACAGTAGTAATAGTGTACTTATAGAAGTAATTGTGTACTTATAGGAGTAATTGTGTACTTATAGAAGTAATCATGTACTTATAGGAGTAATCGTGTACTTACAGGAGTAATAGTGTACTTATAGGGGTAATCGTGTACTTGTAGGAGTAATCGTTTACTTACAGGAGTAATTATGTACTTATTGAAGTAATCGTGTACTTATAGGAGTAATCATGTACTTATAGAAGTAATCATGTACTTACAGGAGTAATTGTGTACCTATAGAAGTAATCGTGTACTTACAGGAGTAATTGTGTACTTAAATAAGTAATTGTGTACTTGTAGGAGTAATCGTGTACTTACAGGAGTAATCATGTACTTATAGAAATAATTGTGTACTAATAGGAGTAATCATGTACTTATAGGAGTAATTGTGTACTTACAGTAGTAATAGTGTACTTATAGAAGTAATCATGTACTTACAGGAGTAATCATGTACTTATAGAAGTAATTGTGTACTTATAGGAGTAATCGTGTACTTATAGGAGTAATCGTGTACTTATAGAAGTAATCGTGTACTTACAGGAGTAATAGTGTACTTACAGGAGTAATAGTGTACTTATAGAAGTAATCGTGTACTTATAGGGTGAAGAATGTGGAATTTATACTTACGTTGTCTGAGTCTTTACATGCATAAAAGAATCATCACAGATAATACTTTTCGTGTCTTGTTTCAGACAAAATTGGAAAAATATTGGAAGCTTTTGAAGGACAATGGTAAGTGTGCAATGCCTGAGTTTGTTTCATAGAGATTCTCACCGAGTGTCTCTTGATATCAATAAAGTATATTAACACAAATTGTTATATTTAATATCAAAAGATAGCAGGAAAAAATTATATTTATCACTGAAATCATTCTTCAATTTTTTCCAGTTTGTAAACAGTAATAAGCAGTGTCTTGAATGTATATAGTACAGCTGACCAGCTTCACTGGCGGCAAGATTAGTGATGTGATTTGATTGATTGATTGATTGATTGATTGATTGATGCTGCACACAGCAATATTCCATATGACGGCAGTCTGTAAATAATTGAGTCTGGACCAGACAATCAAGTGATTGATATAATGAGCATAGATCTGTGCAATTGGGATACAATGACATGCATCAGCCAAGTCAGCAAGCCTGACCACCGATCGCATTAGTCACATCTTTCGGCAAGCATGGGTTGCTGAAGACCTATTCTAACCCGAATCATTTGATTGTGACGTCATGGTAGCTGATGATATCACAATAGTCTGCAAAGCATTGTGAAGCAATTTCATTGTAGCAATATATCCTTGCAGATGTAGCTTGATCTCTCCAATGATCAAGTGATATCTTTAATTGAAGCCAGTTTTGTATGATAAAGTGACCCACCTGGAGGAAAGGGACATTAGGGGTGCTCGGATACAATTGTGCTGTGACGCCATTAAGGGGCACGTTTGACGTCAACTTGCTTACGTAAAACAAATTTGCCATGTGTGCAGACTATGAAATTCTTATTTCTCTCTTGTCATTCCATTATGTAATAAAAACATTATTTCAATCTATTTCAGCATACATGTCTACTTTCAATTGATCACACATTATATCTAAAAACTGCAATTATTACATCATGTACATAAACAGTTATTAGTCTGAAAATTAGACCTTGCAGAAAATGAGTCCAAATCTTTTATGCCTTTTATCTCTGTAAATAAATATGAATTGAAGCTTGCAAATTCTATTATTTTTGTTCCTAAGATATTGTATTTTTTCAAAATAATAAGAAGGCAAATTGTGAATTTTCACCCACAAGGTCCCTTATCTTATGGCTGGTCACAAATATTGCTTGGAGCAAGGTGACAAGGTGATCCCGGTTGTTAAATGTGTTGTGTAGTTAGTGGTAGTTTCAGAAATAACCTATTGTCATCAGGATTTGGAATAAAACAGGTGTGTGTGACATGGATCTTTTTTATTTCCAGATTTATTACCAAAGGGGGAACGGAAGCCGAACAAGGCCAAGATCCTTGATGAGTCAGTGTGGGAGACTTCGCAGGAGGAGTTTGAGGATACAGGTAGGTGGGGTGGGGATAGGGGGGGGTGCATTGCAGGAGGTGGTGAATACAGGTAGGTGGGGTGGGGATAGGGGTTGGTGAGTTGCAGGAGGTGTAGGAGAAAGGTAGGTGGGGTGGGGATAGGGTGGTGCGTTGCAGGAGGTGTAGGAGAAAGGTAGGTGGGGTGGGGATAGGGTGGTGCGTTGCAGGAGGTGTAGGAGAAAGGTAGGCTGGTGGGGATAGGGGTTGGTGTATTGCAGGAGGTGTAGGAGAAAGGTAGGTGGGGTGGGGATAGGGTGGTGCATTGCAGGAGGTGTAGGAGAAAGGTAGGTGGGTGGGGATAGGGGTTGGTGCATTGCAGGAGGTGTAGGAGAAAGGTAGGTGGGGTGGGGATAGGGTGGTGCATTGTAGGAGAAAGGTAGGTGGGGTGGGGAAAGGGTGGTGCATTGCAGGAGGTGTAGGAGAAAGGTAGGTGGGGTGGGGATAAGAGATGGTGCATTGCAGGAGGTGTAGGAGAAAGGTAGGTGGGGTGGGGATAAGAGGTGGGGCATTGCAGGAGGTGTAGGAGAAAGGTAGGTGGGGTGGGGATAGGGGGTGGTGCATTGCAGGAGGTGTAGGAGAAAGGTAGGTGGGGTGGGGATAAGAGGTGGTGCATTGCAGGAGGTGTAGGAGAAAGGTAGGTGGGGTGGGGATAGGGGGTGGTGCATTGCAGGAGGTGTAGGAGAAAGGTAGGTGGGGTGGGGATAGGGGGTGGATGCCAGTAGGTGGGGTGGGGATAAGAGGTGGGGCATTGCAGGAGGTGTAGGAGAAAGGTAGGTGGGGTGGAGATAAGAGGTGGATGCCAGTAGGTGGGGTGGGGATAAGAGGTGGGGCATTGCAGGAGGTGTAGGATAAAGTTAGGTGGGACGGGATAGGGGGTGTATTAGGGGTGGGACAAAGGTACAATCCCTCTCACCCACCCCCCAAATGTTGCATAGTTGACTCTTAAGCCTGAGTCCACACATATGCAGCCATAATTGATGTGAATCTGCCTGCATTGTGTAATGGATCCCATCTCTAACCTCCAGGATCACTGATTGATGAGGTCGGCCACCATCTTGAAGCCGCGCCATCAGATGACGACGACGACAACAACAATGAAGCGAATGAAGACAATGTAGTGGATGATGTTGGTGGCTTCATGGATGACGATGTTGGCTTCATGGATGATGGTGCTGAAGATGACGATGATCCAGATGAGGATGACTACCCATCCATAGATTTCCGCTTCACATTCAGCCCAATCTGTGCGCCGGTCTCCCCTCTGCCTCCTTCTCCAGTGCCAGCCAAGGTAGTGGGAGTCTTTGACAGATTATATGTACCCTCGGAGAAAAACCTGCTATCTTTTCAATAAGATATTTCAAACGTAGAGACAATACCTATAAATTAATATCAGAACCAATTGCATTGTTCTGAGAGTTTGAATTTAAGTTTGAAAATTGAAAATCTCATAGCTTGTTCTCCGTCCTAGCATAACTACCATGTTCTGGAGTATAGTGCACACTTTTTTTTACAAAAAACACAGCTGTGTACAAGGGGTGGCACATTATACACGAGTTATAATGAGTTTTGATGTTTATTTCCCTTAACACAAAGACTTTAGCATGAGCACATAACACCGGAAATACCATGTCAACAAATCCATACTGAAGTACGCAAATTAATCATGTAATTACACCAGCTGCTATAAAAAGTGTTGTTTGTATATCTGGACTTATGTTTGTAACTTATTTCATTAATTTTATTCAAAATTCCTTTAATATTGTTTTAATTTATTTTGGCGAAATCATGTGTGAAGCGATCTTCCGATCTCACAACTCACCATTATTAACAGCAACCACGGTCAGATTACCGCTATTGACGCCTTGAAGCGAACTTTAGTTGACAGAGAATGGATACATATATCATAAATGCCATACGTTGACTAGTTAAAAGTCATATTTGTTGTAGTTTGACGATTCTGTCAACATGTAGTTCTTGTGATCACATGCGTGGGAGGCTTGACGGTGACTGGTCAAATAGTTCCATGTGAAAAAAATAACCGGCAATAGCAATCGGCTACACCTAAGTGCTACGCTTAGGGTTATTATTATTTTAAATATATTTAATTAAAATGCAACTAAAATAACATGATATTGGAATATATTATTCCCAATAAAAAATAGTTTCAGATACTTTTTTTTCTGGATCCTTGCATTAAATTCCTTTAACGTTATATCACTTGGTAAGTTTTAACCGAATCACCGGTAGATTCCAAGAAAATGTGTGTCAAGCCGATTGCTGTTTACGAGAAAATATGCAAGGTAATCTTAATCCTGAAACAAACACAGTAATTACTATCAATGATTATCATTTTTAATCTAAGAGTTTGGTTTCAGAAATTTGAACAATACTTTTCGCACAAGCACTTAATATGAAACAGTAATTGGTTAGTTTGTTGTTTAACGCTGCACTCAGCAATATTCCAGCTATATGACTGCGGTCTGTAAATAATCGAGTCTGGACCAGACAATCCAGTGATTAATACCATGAGCATGGATCCACACATTTGGGATCGATGACATGCATCAAGCAAGTCAGCAAGCCTGACCACCCGATCATGGGTTGCTGAAGACCTATTCTACCCCGGAATCGTCACAGGTCTATACAGTAAAATCATCTGTTGCACATAGCCGAGAGGGTGCAGTATTCAGATTATAATGTTAGTAAGTGGTAGCTTACACAATACACCCTGTTAGTAAGTGGTAGCTTACACAAAACACCCTGTTAGTAAGTGGTAGCTTACACAATACACCCTGTTAGTAAGTGGTAGCTTACACAAAACACCCTGTTAGTAAGTGGTAGCTTACACAATACATCCTGTTAGTAAGTGGTAGGTTACACAATACACCCTGTTAGTAAGTGGTAGCTTACACAATACACCCTGTTAGTAAGTGGTAGCTTACACAATACACCCTGTTAGTAAGTGGTAGCTTACACAATACACCCTGTTAGTAAGTGGTAGCTTACACAAAACACCCTGTTAGTAAGTGGTAGCTTACACAATACACCCTGTTAGTAAGTGGTAGCTTACACAAAACACCCTGTTAGTAAGTGGTAGCTTACACAATACACCCTGTTAATAAGTGGTAGCTTACACAATACACCCTGTTAGTAAGTGGTAGCTTACACAATGCACCCTGTTAGTAAGTGGTAGCTTACACAAAACACCCTGTTAGTAAGTGGTAGCTTACACAATACACCCTGTTAGTCATTGTCAGCTTTCACAATACACCGTCAGTCCTTGTAAGCTTACGCAATACACCCTGTCATTCATTGTTAGTTTTCACAATACTCTGTTAGATGTTGTTAGCTTTCACAATACACCATTGGTCGTTGTTAGCTTTCACAATACACCCTGTTAGTCAATGTTAGCTTTCACAATACACCATTAGTCATTGTTAGCTTTCACAATACACTGTTAGTCGTTGTTAGCTTTCACAATACACCATTAGTCATTGTTAGCTTTCACAATACACCCTGTTAGTCATTGTTAGCGTTCACAATACACCGTTAGATGTTGTTAGCTTTCACAATACACCTTTAGTCGTTGTTAGCTTTCTCAATACATCCTGTTAGTCATTGTAAGCGTTCACAATACACCATTAGATGTTGTTAGCTTTCACAATACACCTTTAGTCATTGTTAGCTTTCTCAATACACGCTGTCAGTCATTGTTAGTTTTCTTTATTGCCAATGTTACAGATACACCGCATATTTGTGTGAAATACCCCAAAAGAATATTCAAACCCAATTACTTTCAATTAACTTGCGAACAGAAACGCATGCATTAAATGAAAAACTCAAATGTATAAAAACAGCTCACGTAAATACCCAATGAAGCTTCTTCAGCATGCGTACAAAGGAGCTAATTTACAAAACACAGTTACGAGCTAATCTACTTTCCGAGTCAAGCCTGTATATTTAGAACTGTTATATATGCATGTAAAACATTTCATTTGTTTTATAATCTTAAAATGTTCACTCGTTTTCGGAAAAAGTCTAATAGAGTAATAAATAGATGAGTGAAAAAATATTGGTTACCCAATTAAAAATGTAATATTATTATTACTTATAACCCATTCAAAATGGAAACCCTAGAGTAAAAACTCAATTGCTCAAAAAGTTATCTGGAGCTCTGTATTGCAATTTGAAAAAGGTTTCTATTCTGTCTGACAGGTTGTAAGATTTTCCTATCTCTGTTATCTCCCGTTTTTGTAGGATTTTGAAAACATGCTTTCTTTTTCTTTCAGCAAACGAAGACAAGTTCCTTTGCAAACCCCTCCACATCAATAGCATTTGACAATGAGGATTCGATGGACATTATGGCAGAAAGTCTACAATCTCAACTCCTTGAAGACGTAACTACTCCCTATACAAAATCTGTGCGCCGGTCTCCAAGATTGAGTAGTGGAAAAGATAGAGGTCTGTTTTCTTCTGCGGATGAACAAGATGTGATCTCAAAATCGGAAAGCTTTAGGCCAAAGAGAGTCAGGAAACAGAAGATGCAAGAGAATAAATCAGAACAGCCAGGAAAAGGAGCTGATAAGACGGCCATAAAGCCAAGTCCACGGCTACAGAGTAAGATAGACTACGCTGGAACTCAAGCTGAAGGATATGATCTGGAGACCAGTTTGCCAGCTGTTTCAGATTCGTCGTCGGAGGAGGAGGAGGGGGGGACAGCTTCTTTTGGAAGTAGGAAAGGTTCGTCTCCATTCCCAGTGCATAACTTGATCGAAGACATGAAGAGGCTGAAGGAACTTGCAGAGCGTACTAAGTCCAGTGATGAGGAGGAGGAAGAGGGTGTGTTGCTGAAACTGAGACCCAGGAACACCAAGGAGGTCCTGCAACAGAGTTGCCCTCTGGCTGACCGCTCTGGTACAAGGAGTCCGTTGTCCTCAGCTAAGCAGTCTTGTAGTACAGATGAAAAGGAAAATGTAACTGAAAATCTACAAAACAGATCAATGACTCCAAAAAAGCCTTTAGGAACATTGTCAAAATCCAATGAGCATGTGAAGTGTGCAGTGAGTGATAGTGATTTGACTGATCGAGTTACAAGATCTATGAGTCAGCCTGTTGAAGAAAAGACAAAGCAGAATGGACTTGGGGCTCCTCGACCCAAGTCCGCCATGGCAAAGATGGAAGATGGCTTCTTAACACCTACAACACCAAAGTCGAAGAAATTGCGAGGAATTTCGCCAAAAAATGAAACTGTTCTTAGATCTGTAGAAACTGAGCAGTCACCAAAGAAACAGACTCGCACTCGAACAACAAGCTTGCCTTTAGATTTGTCAGATGTTGAGAGTTCAACATTAAGGAAGTCACCAAGGTCAAGGTCAGAAGCTCTTGGTAGTTCTGACAATTTACAATTGAAGAAATCGTTAAGGTCACAATCAGTTGAAACTTTGAATGTTAAAGATACAGATAGTCCTGTAAGAGTTCTAAGGTCAAGGTTAAGAGACAGTTTGTCAGACTCATTAGAGAGTCAAGTCAGCAGTCTCAAACGAACATGTTCTCCTGTGAAACAGAAAAAAGATCCATTTGTTAAGAAGAAGAAGGCCTCAACAGAAGAGCTATCAAAGCTGGTTCATGGGACTGAAGTGAAAAATTCTGTTTCAAATGTATCTGAAATAGCAAAATGTTCATCCCCAGAACTGAAAAAGGGTCATGTCCTAGCAAAGCAACAAACAGACAATGATGATGTCCTGGGGATGAAATCGTCTTCCACAGGTGATGTGATGGACATAGATGGTATGGAGGCTGTGGATTCAGGACAAATGGACACTGAGGTAGCAGACAGGACTATTGGTGAGAGTGGACCAGATGCTGAGGGATGTTTGGAAAGTGTGAAGGCAGCAGGTGCCCCCTGTAATGCAGGACACACATCAGGCATGGACATCAAGATAGACTCAAGCCCAGACTCTGTCAAGACATCCAACCATGCTGCTGAAAAAAAGCATTCATCTTCTGAAAGCGATATTTTCTCAGAAAAAGGTCACAATAAGGACAATCTGGATGAGACTTTGAAAGGATCACCATCCAGTTCTAAAACAGTTATATCAGATTCATTCAGTGATAGCTCTGTGTGTATGAAAACACCAGTAAAATGTTCAAAACCAAAGTCAACACCAAGAACAATGACATCTGGCAAGGACAGTGGACCAAGTTTCAAAGTTAAAAAAGTAAAAGCTGTCTCATTGCCATCTAAGAAAATGCGTTCTTCAAAGTCTGGCTCTCAAGAACAATTAGTGTCTTCTGATTCATCCGATACTTCTTTGGAGGAAGACAACCAGAAGAAAAGAAAACAGAGCGCACAGAAGAGGAAGAGTCCAAAGCAACCTGTGATTGACACATCCTCTGAGTCGGAGAAAGATGAGGATGAAAGAACAAATGCTCAAGATTCTGGAGGTCATTTTGCATCAGATTATTCTCCAGGATCGGACAAAGAGTCTGATGATGAGGACAAACAACCACCTGAAACCAGGAAGACAAAACCAGAGCAAGTGGCAGTCAAGTCTGCTGTACCCTTGTCATCCTCGGACCCAGAAGCAGATGACACTGAGAGATCTGTACAGGTAACACATGCTCGGAAACCAAAGAAAAAATTCAGCACCAAACACAAGGGCAATGGAAAGAAAGACTCTGACAAGGCTACCAGGAACCCACAGAAAGTTTTCACATCTAAAGAATTTATTTCAACCGAATCAGACAGTGATGAAAGTGAGAGCATACAGGCCAAAAAGATTGATAAGATACTTCCTGATGTTCCATCTGGGCGTATTGCAAGCAAATCATCTCTCTCTGAACTTAATAAGGACAGAATGGGTTTGGTGAATGAAACTAAACCAATATCTTCTCAAAGAGGAAGAGATAAATCAAGTCGGATCTTTAAGGATAGAAATTCAAAGCTGAGTTCTCAGCAGGGTGAAAATAGAGGTACTTTCCCCTCATTAACTGCCAGTTTTGTTAAGTCAGATACAGTACTGCCAGGCTCCAGCAATGAGACGAGAGGGGATACCGGTCATGAAGAAGTAGGGGACATCCCAGCGGTGCCAGAGCCTAATGCCTTCTCAGAAGAAGGAGAAAAGACTTCTGAAGCAAAGGGAGAAAGTTCACGACCCAGTCCTATGGCTCCAAAACGACGAGTTCGACCATCCAAGCATCGATACCAGCCCTTAGAGACTGAGAAGGACTTTGTAGACATAATTTTGGAAAGAAGACGTGTTACTAGAAGTGCGTCGGACAAATCTGGCAGCGAGGCTAAACAATCTGAAGATAGTGAGCCTCCAGAGATTGTTAGAAAAGCAGAAGCTCAAAGAAAAACAGATTTGGTTGTAGAAAAACTTAAATCTGCCCATGAGAAAAAGAAATTTGTAACAAATTTGGAAAAATCTAGGCTCAATGTTTTAAAGAGAAAGTCGGGAACTGAATCTGGGAATTCATCTGATGATGTCAAAAGGAAAGGACAGACAGCTCTGGCTGGACCAGAAGTGTCGTCTGCTTCTGAAATGGAAGGTGTTTGCAGTGTTGGAAAATCAGAGTCTGTGACAGACAGTGACATGGACACGATCCAAGTGTTGGTGTATCAAGAGAATCTGCAGTCATCGGCTTCAGAGAGTGTTTTCAGTAGTCCGGTGATGTGTCAAGACAACCTGCAGTCATCTGCGTCAGACAGTGTTTTCAGTAGTCCGGTGAGATCTGTGAAATCTCTAGATCTGACTCAGGACAAAGGCTGTGATGGTAGCACAATAAGTCCATTGAAATCCGTAGCAGGAGTGACAACTGTTGTAGAAAAAGTGAACAAAGACAAATTATCAGTGAAGCCAGTCTCTGCAAAACATGATAGTGCTAAGACAATTCAGGTAAGACCTGAAAGTGTTCCTACAGAATCTGTGATCTCAAACAGTGCTGATGTGACAGAAAAAGAATCTAATCCACAGACAAACTCAATTCAGTCAACATCTGGCACAGAACCAGTCATTACCCAACCTCTGCCCACTACACCAGACAGCTCAAGGGGCACAGGCAGTGATATAGCTGGCGCTGTTCCTGCCTTACCAGCACCAACACCAATGAACTCTAGCAGGGCTGTTGAGGTTGAAGCAACAGAAGATGAAAACACTATGAAGGGGAGTATATGTGGGTCAGAATCGTCACATATTGATGAACCTGAGACATCAGTCCCTTCAGAAACAGGGTTGCTGCCAGCACCAGGGTCAGGTTCTACTCGCACTCAAGAAGAGACACAAGGGGAGAGTACACAAAAGGCAGAGAAGAGGCAACTGTCTAGCTCTAGTGTTGACATGCCCTCAAAGGATCAGAATTGTAAAGAGAATAGAGATTTAAAAGTGAATGAAAATGTCCACAAAGTGGTTGGAAAGGTCCAAGAAGGAGAGCAAGCTTCATCCTCCATGACTGGTGGGATGTTGACATCACCATCGCTTGAAATGGATGTAGGAAAATGTCCAAGACGTAAAAGGTTATTAAGGACAGGTGTGGCCAGCAAGACAGAAGATGAAACTAACACAGTAGTCAAGGATGTAACAAGCAAGGACAAGGGTGTAGCAGAGGATGTGACTGCCAAGGATGTATCGGACAAGGGTGTGGCAGAGGATGTGACTGGTAAAGATGTTACCAAGGATGTATCGGACATGGGTGTGGCAGAGGATGTGACCAGTTTGGTCAAGGGTGTGTCCAAGGATGTAACCAGCGATGTGTCTGGCAAAGATGTTGCCAAGGATGTAATGAGCAAGGACAAGGGTTTGGACAAGGATGTGACCAGCGATGTGTCTGGCAATGACGTTGCCAAGGATGTAACCAGCGATGTGTCTGGCAATGATGTTGCCAAGGATGTGACCAGCAATGTGACTGGCAAAGAAGTTTCCAAGGATGTAACTAGCAAGGACAAGGGTGTGGACAAGGATGTGACCAGTGATGTGTCTTGCAATGATGTTGCCAAGGATGTAACCAGCGATGTGTCTGGCAAAGATGTTGCCAAGGATGTAACAAGCAAGGACAAGGGTATGGACAAGGATGTGACCAGTGATGTGTCTGGCAAAGATGTTGCCAAGGATGTAACGAGCAAGGACAAGGGTGTAGCAGAGAATGTTATCAGTGATGTGACTGGCAAACATGTTGCCAAGGATGTGACCAGTGATTTGACTGGCAAACATGTTGCCAAGGATGTGACAAGGAAGGAAAAGGGTGTGGTGAAGGAAAAAACAAAGGATGTGAGTAGCAAGGACAAGGAAGTGTCCGGGGAAGAAACAAAGGATGTGACCATGGACAAGGATGTGACTTGCTACAACAAGGATGTTACCAAGAATGTTACCATCATGGACAAAGATCATAACAAGGATGTATCAAGCAAGCTAAAGGATGTGACTAGCAAGGACGAAGATTTATCTAATGGCAAGGATATGACTAGCAATGTCAAATGTCTAACTGAGGACAAGGATGTGACAAAGGACAAGGATGTGACCAAGGATAGGAATGTGACTAGCACTGACAAAGGTCTAACTGAGGACAAGGATGTGACCAAGGACAAGGATGTGACCAAGGATAAGGATATGACCAAGGACAATGATGTGACTAGCACTGACAAAGGTCTAACTGAGGACAAGGATGTGACAAAGGATAAGGATATGACCAAGGATAAGGATGTGACCAAGGACCAGGATGTGACTAGCATTGACAAAGGTCCAACTGAGGACAAGGATGAGACTAGCTTTGACAAAGGTCTAACTGAGGACAAGGATGTGACTAGCATTGACAAAGGTCCAACTGAGGACAAGGATGTGACCAAGGACAAGGGTGTGACCAGTGAGGACAACAGCAGGTCCAAGGACAGTGATGGCCAGGGCGTCCACAGGAAGACGCGGAGGAAGCTGCAGAGGGTGAGTGCGAGTGAGGAGCAGCTACCTCAGGCTGAGTGTCCTGCTGAGGACACCTTGTGTCCCAGGACTAGCAGGAGAACCACTAGAGCTAACCAGCTGAAGAGAGCCAACATGAAGAGGCAGATGAGTTTTGATCAGGAAGAGGCCAAGACGGTTGATGAACCTTCTACTGTTGAAAAGAAGACAAAGAAGGTGTCCAAAGGACTTGACAGTTTGAGGAAGAGGACGAAGGAGGAAGAAACAGAAAAGAGTGGAGATATTGGGGTGAATGCAACACTGGAGCAGGATAAAGAAGAGGAAAAGGGACCAGAGGAAGAAAGTTGTAATACTGTAATGAAGGCATCTCAAGATGAGGAAGATGTAAATGCTGAAGATAGTTTGGTTGTGAAGAACAAAAAGTTTGAGGAGACCATTAAAGGAAATGTTGAACAAAGAGAAACTTCATCAGAAGTTGGACAGGATGTTGAGGAAGTGGAACACGTACAAGAAGATGTGAATTTGAAGGAGGCTTCTGTTGTCAGTCACGAGAGTGTAAGAGCAGACGTCGAGGCAAGAGATGCGTGTGAAAAGACCCAAGAAGATGAGTGTGAAAAGACCCTAGAAGATGGGAAGAAAATAACAGATACTGATGAGATGTCCGGATCTGAGGAAGATTCTGATGACGGAAGCAAGAGGAAACGTGTAGAATCCCAAAATTCATTTGGATTTACAGTCAACAATGCTGAGACCACCAGCTCCACAGAAGGGCCCGGTCTCCTGGACACCTGGAACTTGATCCCAGAACTGCAGGAACTGGAGGAGGAGGACACATTTGCTGAAGATGTGGAGGAGCCCAAGTCCATCATGGCAGGGGCCGGTTTGCAGACACCCGAAAGAGTCGCCTCCCCAGAAATCGTTGCCCTGACCCAGGGGACATTTTCGTCCATCAGTGCCTTACTACGTAGTGAGTTTTCCCTGGCATCTGTATCCACCACACCGCTGCCACCATCGCCGATGAACTTCCTTCGTATTCGAGATCCTGTTTCACCGCTACCTCCATCCCCGACAGGGTCTCTGGATGACCCCACTCCCCTAACAAAGGGTAAATCAAAACGAAAGACTTTAACGAAATCGAAAAATAGGGCTGAGACCCCACCAACTCCTGATGGAACAAAGTTTACCAAAATAGCTCCATTGGATGAAGCTGTGTCTTCCATGTCCTCAGGGACCCAGAGACGAGTAGCACGGCTGGCTCGGCCTCAAGCAGACTTGCCAAAGTTTGGTGCTGACCTTTCCTCAACGACTGTGAAGCCAAAGGCCGTGTACTCCAAGCCTGGGACTGCTGGTCAGGGTGATGCCACTTTCTTCCCTGTGTTGAGATCTGCGGAGATATCCTTAGCTAAGCAGCAGTTGGCGAAAAGGTGTGTGTAAACTCCTTTTGTAAGATCATTGTTTTCAGTTATTATTCAGGAAGAATTTGTCTCCATTTGATATCTGTCTGTCTGTCTGCCTTCCCCCCTCCCCTCTCACTACCTCCCTACCCCTCTCACTACCTCCCTCCCCTTTCTCTCTCTCATTCCTCTCTCCCCTTTCTCTCTCATCCCTCCCTCCCCTTTCTCTCTCTCATTCCTCTCTCCCCTTTCTCTCTCATCCCTCCCTCCCCCTTCTCTCTCTCATCCCTCTCTCCCCTTTCTCTCTCATCCCTCCCTCCCCTTTCTCTCTCATCCCTCCCTCCCCCTTCTCTCTCTCATCCCTCCCTCCCCTTTCTCTCTCATCCCTCCCTCCCCTTTCTCTCTCATCCCTCCCTCCCCTTTCTCTCTCATCCCTCCCTCCCCCTTCTCTCTCTCATCCCTCCCTCCCCTTTCTCTCTCATCCCTCCCTCCCCTTTCTCTCTCATCCCTCCCTCCCCTTTCTCTCTCATCCCTCTCTCCCCTTTCTCTCTCATCCCTCCCTCCCCTTTCTCTCTCATCCCTCCCTCCCCTTTCTCTCTCATCCCTCCCTCCCCCTTCTCTCTCATCCCTCCCTCCCCTTTCTCTCTCATCCCTCCCTCCCCTTTCTCTCTCATCCCTCCCTCCCCTTTCTCTCTCATCCCTCCCTCCCCCTTCTCTCTCTCATCCCTCCCTCCCCTTTCTCTCTCATCCCTCCCTCCCCTTTCTCTCTCATCCCTCCCTCCCCCTTCTCTCTCATCCCTCCCTCCCCTTTCTCTCTCATCCCTCCTCCCCTTTCTCTCTCATCCCTCCCTCCCCTTTCTCTCTCATCCCTCTCTCCCCTTTCTCTCTCATCCCTCCCTCCCCTTTCTCTCTCATCCCTCCCTCCCCTTTCTCTCTCATCCCTCCCTCCCCTTTCTCTCTCATCCCTCCCTCCCCTTCTCTCTCTCATCCCTCCCTCCCCCTTCTCTCTCTCATCCCTCCCTCCCCTTTCTCTCTCATCCCTCCCTCCCCTTTCTCTCTCATCCCTCCCTCCCCTTTCTCTCTCATCCCTCTCTCCCCTTTCTCTCTCATCCCTCCCTCCCCCTTCTCTCTCTCATCCCTCTCTCCCCTTTCTCTCTCATCCCTCCCTCCCCTTTCTCTCTCATCCCTCCCTCCCCTTTCTCTCTCATCCCTCCCTCCCCTTTCTCTCTCATCCCTCCCTCCCCCTTCTCTCTCTCATCCCTCTCTCCCCTTTCTCTCTCATCCCTCTCTCCCCTTTCTCTCTCATCCCTCTCTCCCCTTTCTCTCTCATCCCTCTCTCCCCTTTCTCTCTCATCCCTCTCTCCCCTTTCTCTCTCATCCCTCCCTCCCCTTTCTCTCTCATCCCTCTCTCCCCTTTCTCTCTCATCCCTCTCTCCCCTTTCTTTCTCATCCCTCCCTCCCCCTTCTCTCTCTCATCCCTCTCTCCCCTTTCTCTCTCATCCCTCTCTCCCCTTTCTCTCTCATCCCTCTCTCCCCTTTCTCTCTCATCCCTCCCTCCCCCTTCTCTCTCTCATCCCTCCCTCCCCTTTCTCTCGTGATCTCTCACTTGATAGCCATAGTTTTCAGCACCAAATTTGATACTGAACCTCCTGCCTCACTTTTGTTTCCGTGTTCAACATCAGCATTCAAGGAATCACAGTGTTTCTGCTCAATTATAAATTTACCTGTTCTCTGGGCCAAATATTTTGGACCGATATGGTTCATGGCCTATGTTAATGCTACGGAAACACTGTAGCATGGCCTTAAACTAAACACACAACTCACTCACTCACTCACTCACTCACTCACTCACTCACTCACTCTTCCAGGCTGGAGAACAAGGAGAAGAAAGAACAAGAGAGGAAGACGAGAAAACGGAAAAGTTCAGAATCGGAGGCTGCACCCCAGAAGAAACAGGTTGGTGTGGAATAAGTGAATGAGCTGCCTGGGTATTCCGGGTTAGAAATATCACCAGTAACCTATGCTTACCTGGATCCGGCAGTCATGCTGAGAGACTTGGTTGATTGCGAGTCATCATAACCTGACAGCATGACGCTGCTATGATAACAATCACTGGTTTGTCTGGTCCAGATTTGAATATTTACAGCAGACATCATATAGCTTGAATATTGCTGAGTGTGGCGTTTAATAGACAAACAATTATAATTCTTGTGAATACCTCACCTCTATCACATCAGTGCCATAAATTCCTGTTTATGCTGAGAACCACACTATAAATTTTTATAAATTTTCAACAGACGTCCACTACACTGCCAACATATCCATAGTTGTGAGGGAAACCCTATCCCTTGCCAGAGGCGCCACTGCGCATGCGCAAGGCGGGAATCTAGTCACTTCTTTCCTGTGTGTCCAGATGACAACAAGGAAAATATTTTGTTGCACATCCGTACACGTGATTGAGTTCCACACTTACAAAGCACATTAGATCTTCTCAAGCTTCATAGGCTACAAGCAGTGAGCAGTCTACAAGCAGAGAACGGGGGTATAAGAAGATCGGAAGTTCTAGTAAGTAATTAGTTAGAAACGTTTTGTGGGATGAGATCTTCATCTCAAGGACAGACACCCGTCTGTTCAGGCTGTGGGCAACACCAGATACCTGGTGACCCTCACCCTAGATGTCTATCATGCAAACAACTGCACACAAAAGTCAAGGTGCAGCTATTGCGAGCCTCTGTCAAAGGAGAAAATTGACAAGCTCTACAAGGCATGTATCAACAATCCTGATTACAAAGATTACTAGCGCATCAAGTAAAAACAAGTGATTAAGCTCTTGGTGGCCATATTAATCACGTGGGTTACAAGCGAGTGTCGCGCGAGGGCGCCGTCTCACCTTATGAGGAGAAGAGAACGCGTCGCTCATCCCACTCTCCCAAAAGTTGAGGAGCAGATGCATTTTACCGGTCAAAAAGAAAGTGCCTCTAACTTGCATCCGGCAACGTATGGTACGGTCGATCATCGAGTTTGGACAGAAACTAACGATCTTCACCCTCTGCCGCGTTCCCCCTTTTAACTTAATTGAGTTCGGAATTCAATGTCTGTAATGATGTATAAAGCGTAAAAGCGCGAGTGTCGCGCGAGAGCGCCGTCTCACCTTATGAGGAGAAGAGACCCCGTCGCTCATCCCACTCTCCCAATAATGTTGAGGAGAAGATGCATTTTACCGGTCAAACAGAAAGTGCCTCTAACTTGCATCCGGCAACGTCTGGTACGGTCGATCATCGAGTTTGGACAGAAACTAACGATTTTCACCCTCTGCCGCGTTCCCCATTTAACTTAAATGAGTTCACGGAAAGAATAACAAAATTCAATGTCTGTTATGATTGACGCACGCATGCAATCTATGACCCGGCTTGGCCATACAGGGGTCGATCAGATTGATAAAAGCGCATGCAATCAATGTCTCAGAAAATCTCATATCCAAAAGAATCTGTCGCACAACCCCGGCTTGGCCATACAGGGGTCGATCAGATTGATAAAAGCGCATGCAATCAATGTCTCCGGAAATCTCATATCCAAAAGAATCTGTCGCACAACCCGGGCTTGGCCAACAGGGGTCGATCACAAGATTCAAGAGACCTAAGGATCTCCCAATAAAGTTGAGGAGCAGATGTACCTCACAGGTTTTTAACTAAAGGGATTCGGAGAAATTAACCAACTCAATGTTGTAATAATTGATAAAAGCGCACGCAATCAAGGGCTCAGGAATAAACTCTAAAAAAATGGATTGCACAAACCCGGCATGACCAAACGGGGATTGATAAGCACGAGATTAAGTGAGATATAAGGCTGAATATGGCAGTACTTCCTCATACAGCAGACAAGCAAGCCTACGCTGTATCTGATTATTATGAGGACACAGGAGAACAAAAAGAGATAGATTACCTCCCTACCACGTACACCATAGGGCAGATCGTGAATCACGGACATTGCATCGCAGTATGCTCAAAAATACACACCATTCACCCTCTAGCCATAAGATAGACGAACTGACAAAGCTCGTGCTAATCAGGATAGAATTCCTAAGCATGCGCCATCTCATACTGCCGCACAGTCCAGTTACACGGGCGGAGAAGCGAGGGAGATGTTACGTCACTATCACACAGTTATAGAACACGTGATTCCCGCACGGCCAGTCGTAGATCAGACGACCGGGATTACGCTACCCTCAGCCATATGACCCAGTCTCAGCACAGCCCGAGTAGGGGGTGCGGATCTATTGCTAATACTGTTTTTTATACAGTGGGGATTCTACTACGGAGGTTAATTATAGACCAAATAATTATACCATTAACATATCATTGCAGAACTCTATAAACTAATGCCCGCCCTTTAAAACAGATACAAGGACAAAATACCAAGATGACCTTGTTAGAACGTGACGGGTAGGAGGTACCGGTCAGTTGATTCTAGAATTCCTTACCCTTCCCTGTTCGTCATATATTGATGACGTCATCAAGAATCGAATATTCATTAAATGCTACTTTCGGCACTTAATGTTAGACTGGGTATGCCTGCCATTAATAAGAGTGATTACACAAGTTGCCCCTGCGCACAGCAGCCGAGCATCGTTGAACTTTTCTACTAACGTCATACCCCGAACAATCAGAACGTAGGCCTACACTTAGACACCCCACGGAGATGACACTACAGCAGACCGGATTCATCAACAGCTCACTGGAACACATTCTGAAGATGCAGGAAGATCTTCAATCAGCAACCGGACTAACTTCAAGAAGCACAGTTCCTGCTAAAGATGATCATCCCACTTCGCAGAGGAGGAAGCAGAAGCAGTCCCCGAAGGGGATACCACCGGAAATGCCTTCAGACCCTACCGACATCGCTTGCCCAATGGACAACGATTTAGAACTACAGAAGATCAAAGATATGACCACATCGAATCCAGTCGAACTAGCCGGTCTCACAGACATCGACCCAAGATTACACAAGTTCAGCAAGGGGCTATCAGCACCTTAAAAGAGTCAAGAGACCACTCACGGGTTCTACTCCCCAGTACTCCAGGTACCTACACTTTGCAGTCAACGGTCAGAGATACCAGTTCAGGGTACTACCATTCGGCATATCCTTAGCCCCATGGTTATTCACCAGGATCACCAATCCCATCATCGGTTTGCGCCCATATAAGCTCATAAGGCTTCTCATATGTAGACGATTTCCTATTGGCCGATCAGGACAAGCGCAATTAGTTTAAACACAGTGTGCCTCACTACTAACAATCTTAGGTTTCCTGGTTCACCCTCTAAAACAGAGCTAGTACCCACACAGGCATCACCTACATAGGCGCAAGATTCTACTCAACAAGGGGCATAGCAGCACCCACAGAGGACAGATATGCAAGAGTAGAGCACATGATAACAAGCCCACTCGATCAGGCCGTCAAGTCGAGACGCTGGTGGATGTCTCGCCTATGCCCGCTCACATCTATCCAAGATTTAACCTACAGAGGCACAAGGTCTCAGCCTTTACTGAAGGAGGTTACATGTTTATATGCCTTGGTGGACTCAGTGAGTTGCAAGATCGAAGTAAGACACATTCCGGGGAAGCTAAATATACTAGCAGATTACCTATCCCGGAAAAACAAGATAGTACCCACAGAATGGTCACTACATCCCGAGGTGTTCAAGTGGATAACCCAGGTATGGGACAGTCCAAACATAGATCTATTCGCCACATGTCTCAACAACAAACTACCAGTCTATGTCAGCCCGGTACCAGACCCACTAGCACTCCAAGTCGATGCGCTCTCCATGGAATGGAAGGGAATGTTTGCTTACGCATTTCCCCCATGGGCTCTCCTAGACAGAGTACTGAGGAAAATAGAGGAAACGGACTGTGTCATAATCCTCATAGCCCCGGCCTGGCCAAAAAGGGCTTGGTTTCCGAGACTCCTACAACTGCTGCTAGAAGTACCTCTGAAACTCCCAGTACGTCCCGACCTATTGAGACAACCAAAGACGGACATATTTTACGGCCGCCTCGACAACCTCCATCTTCACGCTTGGAAGTTATCTCGCATAAGATGCAAGCAGCCGGTTACTCTGAATCAGCTGCACGAAGAGTGGCTAGCTCATGGAGACCAACCTCATCTGCGATATACAATAACAGATGGGACAAGTTCGTCGAATGGAGAAGAGGAAAACAGTTACATGGAGATATAACGATACCTATAGTAGCCGATTTCTTGCTCCATCTCAGAAATGACAAGAATTTACGACACGGCACTATCGAAGGATATAGATCAGCCCAGTCATCAGTATTACAACACGATGACCTATCTATAGGTACCCATCCAGTACTAAATCGACTTATGAAGTCTTTTGCCCTGGAAGATATAAAAGTACCACGTACTTTTCCTAAATGGGATCTATCTATAGTATTGTCGGCATTGATGAAAGCACCGTATGAACCCATGAGTAGTGCGACATTACTATCAGTCTCCAAGAAAACTGCTTTTCTCTTAGCCATGGCTACGGCGGCTCGCGTGTCAGAACAACACGCTATTGACATCTCCACTGTAACCCATACCAAAGAATGGAAATCAGTGTCGTTCAGATCGCTCCCTGAATTTATTGCCAAAAACCAGTCGTCAACCTTCGGCCCACTCGGACATCGGCAATACACAATTCCAGCCTTAAGTAAAAGTGTGGACTTCCCGGATAGATTGCTTTGCCCCATAAGAGCCTTGAGATATTTTATCACAGCGACTCAACCCCACAGAAAGCAGAGAAAACGCCTATTTATCTCTTGCAAGCCCTCGTCAGAAAAGGACATCGCAAAGGGCACTGTAGCGGGATGGCTAAAAACAGCTATCACAGATAGCTATAAAACGGCACAAATCTCCACTCCGATTTGGGGTAGCTGCAGACCCCACGAAATCAGAGCACTGGCAACAAGCCTAGCCACATGGAATACTGCATCCATCGAACAAATCGTGGCCAGCTGCCAGTGGAAGTCCCACAACACTTTTTCAAACTTTTACTTACGAGACATACAGACCGATCTAAATGGACTATACACTCTGGGGCCTTTGGTGGCTCCCCAGGTGATAGTTACCAAATAAAGTAACCTGTTCCCTCCCTCTTCCAAGAAAGGGGGGCGGTCGGGTAGCCTAGTGGTTAAAGCGTTCGCTCGTCACGCCGAAGACCCGGGTTCGATTCCCGACATGGGTACAATGTGTGAAGCCCATTTCTGGTGTCCCCCGCCGTGATATTGCTGGAATATTGCTAAAAGCGGCGTAAAACCATACTCACTCACTCACTCCAAGAAAGGGAAAAGAGAGGGGGGGGGGGTGAAGATTTCAGAAGTACCTCAGGAACTCAGGGTAAGTTGTACTTTGTTACTGGACTGCGCTATTGAGTTAGTAAAACAGGGCAAATGTCAACACTGAAATCAGAGATCGAAGGATTAAGTGATATACGGTAATCTACATGATAGGAAGGTTAATGTATTACCACCGGAAGTGACGTCATAGGAGTCATCACACCGGAGAAACGTTAAGATACGTTAAATATCACTATCCAAAAGGGCATAACGGTAAACCACGTCATAAGTGATACGGGAGAATAGTGACACCGGAAGTGACGTCACAGATGACGTCATCACCGGAAGTGACGTCACAGATGACGTCATCACAGGAAACGACGTCACTAAAAAGTCTAAGTATCACAAGGGAATATACATATACCCTTCACATGACGCCTTGAAAATTCTATACGTCTAAGTCTTGTAAGTAGACTATTAGACACATCCGTTTAAGACCCCTTTTGGCATATAATCCTTGGTTTTACCACTTCACTAGCCAAATATCTATGGGATGCTAGATACCAGAACCCGCCGGTCCCTCTGGTGTATACTGGCACTGATGTGATAGAGGTGAGGTATTCACAAGAATTATCAAACAATAGTTATCATTGTGAATAATTCTAAGAATACCACCTCTATCACATCAGGAATTAATCCCTCCCACCTCCCCAAATATCTGCATCTAGTTGATGAGAGTATGGGTTGAAAGAAGTGACTAGATTCCCGCCTTGCGCATGCGCAGTGGCGCCTCTGGCAAGGGATAGGGTTTCCCTCACAACTATGGATATGTTGGCAGTGTAGTGGACGTCTGTTGAAAATTTATAAAAATTTATAGTGTGGTTCTCAGCATAAACAGGAATTTATGGCACTGATGTGATAGAGGTGGTATTCTTAGAATTATTCACAATGATAACTATTGTTTGATTTTTTTGAAAATCGGATGTGTAGTGGGTAGTCACAATGTTGAAGTGAATGGGTACCCGGTAGGATGAGATGGTCATGTGATGTTAACCTTCTAGAGCCTCACAGGCAGCTTGGGTTGTGTACTCCCCAGGGAGCTGAGAATGAAAATTGAGAACACATATTCGTTGAACAAGGTGACAATATGTGGCTCCTTGAGCATGACCCTCTGTGGTAAAATCTGAGGCAACTTGTTTGTTTCCAGTAACCATGGTAACCCCATGTCCTCGTCCCCCAAACATGTGTCGGACCTTACATGTTACTTGTGTTTTTTGTCTTCTCCAGGTGATGAAGCAAGAGACACGGAACCTGCCATCTGTTTCAAGTGAGTTCATGGAATGAATGCTTGATTGGGGCCCACATTACATATACAGTCAAGTCCCGTTAATCCGACATTGTTGGTTGCATGTGATTCTGTCGGATTAACGAGTATGTCGGATAAACGAAATTAAGAAGTATCAACATTCATGATCGAAATTCGGACAGCTACACGATAGATAACGATACAAACACGTAATAAAAAATGAAATATTCGTATTGTTATATTTCATTGTTAGCGGAATATGTTTTCTAATCATGCAACCTCTAAAGCTTAGCACAAAACAACTGTTACGGACTGTATGACTGATTCAAAATACTTCAAAAAGCATAGTCTGGAATGGAAGTCGCCAGTTGGAAACTGGTACCTCAAAGCTTAAGAGAGCTGCTTTCTTAGTGGCTAAAGATGACTCCCTGTCATTTCATTGGTCGGTCATAGTTGGTGAAAGGTTGTTCTGATGTGACCTGTGATAGGATGTCCTCAACGATAGCGAGAACTTGTATCTAATTTTAATGAGATTAATCTAAGCATGTGATTAATCTTATTTTCTTTATTTAAAGCATTCATTGTTTATTGTTAAGCAAGTTTATCTCTGCAGCCGTTGTAATATGCAGCTACCAGCCGACTCATTTTGTATCAAAACACAGGCTGTGTACTCGCGGGCAGATGACCACGGAGTACACTGATCACTGTCGGATTAACGAGACTAATTAATTAGTGATTTCGGTAATTCGTTGCAAATTAGGTGTGTCGGAGTCGGAGTGCGAGACTGTCGGGTTTAACGGGTCTAAATAGCACTGATTTAATCGGTTCTTATGATAAGTGTTGGATAAAGCCGATTGTCGAATTAACAATTGTCGGATTAATGATTGTGGGATTAATGAGTGTTGGATTAACACGACTTGACTGTTTTTGTACTGTTCACATGGTACTTCTTCATCCAATAATAAGATTACGGGATGTGTGGTATGGATAAACAAGACTACCTGTTACGTCATCAACATGACTTAGATAGGAACTCAGTCCAACCAAATGCCTCAAGATATTAGATGTAATTTATATAATTCTAAATTTATTCTTTTGTGACTGGGGTAGTCGGGTAGCCTAGTGGTTTCTAGTGTTAGCTCATTACGCTGAAGACCCGGGTTCGATGCCCGGCATGGGTACAATGTGTGAAGCCCATTGCTGGAATATTGCTAAAAGTGGCATAACATCATACTCACTCGCTCACACTTTCTGTGACTGCATCGAAAAATATGGATACGCAAGGGTTATCATGTGATGTGTTTATTGCTGAAGGCTGTATTACAATATATGGGGGCAAGTGTGGCCCAGTCGTCTCAGGCGCCACGATTTGATGTGCAGAGTTGCATCCCTTGGGCATGCCATAAACCTATGATTGTGGGTTCGAATCCCGGTTCACCCTGATTATGTTTCTCATTTTGTCAGCACCATACCTGTGCTCGTGCGTTTCACGAAAGTGGTAAACGTCTGAGATCTGCATCACTTTGGGCTATCCTCCCACATTAAACTGACACGCCGCGATATAACTGGAATACTGTTAAAAGCGGCGTTAAACCCAACTCACTCACTCACTTACAATATACCGGTACACCAGTTATATCGCACAACCCTAGAGATTAATGTTGTTATTATGACTGGTTGTGTCTACCATGTTAGACCTGCTGTCAACACTTGCCTGTGCTGGTTACAGGGGTAGAGAGGGTGCTAGAGGAGTATCTCCAGTCAACAGATGCCACGCCCAATTCCTTCTGCAATACTGTCGTCGGCAAGAAGCTCAATACAGATGTTGCCATGGAGATCTTCAGGGCCATTGTCAAGGTCAGTTCACATTAAAATGTTACTTTATTTTTTGTTAAGATTTAATGTACTTTGATAAATTTATTATTTTGGTTATATTTGCACCTTGATATTGCAGCATACAGATCCGTGTCAATGGATATGATACCAATTGGTATGATCCTCCTGGTCTTCATTCTGGCAGGACCGACTATCACCTCCTGCGTGTGTTTATCATAAACGAGACCCAAATTAGCGTCACATGATGAATTTTATTAATGTGTCAAGCTTTCACCGCGTGTTTCACATATGTCTGGCCTGACGAAAATGTCGAAGCAAAAAACAGCCTTATTGTACTCTTAACATGACTCTTTTTCACCTGAAATTACACTTCTTTTCCCAAATGATTTCTCCAAAGCTTCAGTGAGACATCTCTGGTTTAGTTCTGAGTTTTGAAGATCAGCAAACCTAATATCTTTTTTCCAAAAGAAGTGGTTGTTTTCATTTCCTCAGTTGCTGCGCCCAACTGGAAAGTAGCATGCTCTAGCTAAAAAAATCACCCTGCCATGCCATAATTGTCACGACTGGACCCGAATCGTTCAGCCTTTTGTTCAACCTGATCGGACACTGATCAATATACTGTAACAATTGTCAACAATGTATTCATAAGAAAATGTTCAAATTTATGACTAAGTTAATTTAATACTTTAACTAAAATTTAAAATATTCTGAAGGTAGCATCGTGGTTGAGCTTGGTTCCAAAATGGTTACCATGGTTACTATGAAGCCAATTCTTCCCTTCTGTGATTTAGCTTTCAATAAAAGCCACAAAACAGTATTCAAGCACACAACAGGTGGTGCAGCTCTTCAATCTTGAGGGGCACAGGTGCCCCAGTCGTCTGAGGGGCCTCAATTATGTCCCCTGGACACTACTGAAACGTGATCATGGCTTCAAGTGCCAGATCGTCCAGATTAATATGGGAGTCATCTAAGGCGCCGTGATTTGCTGTGCAGAGTTGCGTCCCTTGGGCACACCAGAAACCTATGATTGTGGGTTCGAATCCCGGTTCGCCCCGTGTATGTTTCTAGGTTTGTCAACACCATACCCGTGCTTGTGGGTTTCACCGAAGTGGTAACTGTCTGAGACCTGCATTACTCACTCACTCACTCACTCACTCACTCACTCACTCACTCACTCACTCACTCACTCACTCACTCACTCACTCACTCACTCACTCACTCACTCACTCACTGTGATCATTACGTGCAGGTAGTCCCTGGAAGGTGATACATGTATTTTGAGGTTGTGTGTCATGCTCTGCTGTGATTGACAGATGCTACAGACGAGTTGCAGCGATCAGCTCCCCCTGGTGTATGCAGCGTGCAGCGCGGGGTCCGACATAAAGGGGCCATTCATGACGGACACGGAGACACGCCTACTAGAACTCATCACCGCTCTACTGGAGGAGTACATGGTAACTTGTATTTTTTTTTTTTTTTCGTTCTTTCGTTCGTTCCTTTTTCTTTCGTTCTTTCGTTTGTTCATTGGAGTACATGGTAACTTGTATTCTATATTTTTGTTTGTTCGTTCGGTTGATCGTTCATTCGTTCGTTCGTTCGTTCGTTCATTTAATGCCACATTCAACAATATACCAGTTTATGAGAGTGACCTCTAAATAACTGAGTATTGATGAGACAATGCATTGATATAATGGCGCCTCCATGCTGGACAATGACACCCAAATAAACCAGTTCACCGAGTCTGACGTAAGAGGTGACTAACGGAATCAGGTGGTCAGACTCGCTGACTTGGTTGATGCACATCATCGTATCTCAATTGCATAGATAGATGTTCATGATTTCAGTCCCTGGATTGTCTGGTCCAGACTTGATATTTGAGGATCATTGCAAAAGAACAAATGCACTTAAATGTAAAATTAGTTATATTTTGTAGATGTAGTTCAAATTTGTTGAATTCAGATAGGTTTTGGAAACACTAAAATGATGCAGGTATATTCAGAAGCATCATCAAAATATGGGAACTGTTGAAAAAAATGATGCAGTGACTAATAAGCAAATACATTCCACTACCCCAGTTGTATTGTGTTAGAGGTGTAGGCTACCTGTCTGAGCTTCTATCGAAGATGATGATGATGATTTCTCTCTGCTCCAGGATTGTCCGCGCCACCAGCTGATGGAACTCCTGTGGAACTCCATCTTCCTGCCCTGTGTCGCACTTCCCGGACGTCTGGCACTCTGGTCAGTTCATATGTACTATTCAAAGACAGTTTTACATTACGACATACGTAGGATCAATTGTTGAAATGAGACTTAAGCTTGTCATTTGTTTGTGTCATGATTTGTTATGGTGCCATCACATTATTTTCACTGGCCGACAAAGTTAGCTCAGGTTTCACTTCATGCGAGACCGCCTCCGTGGTCTTGTGGTAGAGCGTCCGCCCGGAGAGCGGAAGGTCCAGGGTTTGATCCCGGGCCGCGTCATACAAAAAGACGTTAAAAGATTGTACTTGTTGTTACCCTGTCTGGCGCTCGGCATTAAGGGGCTAAAACAAGGACTGGTCGGCTCGGAGGCAGTATACTGTGTCTGAGTGGGGTATTCATGTTAAACTGCGGCATGGTATCTCAGTGAGCCAGCACTATAAATCGGCATCAGTCCGGACTAGTACAAGCAGCCACACACACACATACACGTGCATGCACGTCGCTTTATAAGTGCAATAATCTTGGACGCGACGTTAAACCCAATTTCACCTCACCATCACTTCATGCGACCACGTGGTTGTGAAGTAATGTAGTGGTTAAAGCGTTAGCTCGTCACATCAAAGACCCGGGTTTATTCTCCACATGGGTATAATGTGTGAAGCCCATTTCTGGTGTCCCCCGCCGTGATAGTGCTGGAATGTTGCTAATAGCAGCGTAAAACCCTACTCACTCACTCATTCATGTGAGGATGTGTCTGATCTTGATGGAGAGACGTATAGAGCGGAAGAAACCGTGTAATTTTAAGGATATCACCCCTGAATGTGATTTACATGAAAGTCTTTCTCTGTTTCAGTCGGATGTTCACTGCTCTCTGCCGATGTGAAGGTAGGGAGAATAGTTTATGCTTATTACTTAACATTCCTCCTTAAACCTTGGACGGGGCGGACGGGTAGCCTAGCAGTTAAAGCGATCACTCGTCATGCCCAAGACCCGGGTTCGATTCCCAACAAGGGTATGATGTGTGAAGCCCATTTCTGGTGTCCACTGCCGTGATATTGCTGGAATATTGCTAAAAGTGGCGTAAAACCATACTCACTCACTCACTTGAACCTTGGACATGTGGCCTCTCAATCACTAAAGGACACACCATTTCAAAGTCTTTTATTGTATCCAAGGCATCCAGCCTATCTGAAAGAGATTTGTATCTTGTAACTTAAATCCCCTAGCTGCTCAACATCCACCCCAGATTCTGGGTTCAAATCTGGGTTTAGGAATAGTTAGGCTCTTTGGATTTGAGGACCTGCCTCACTTTGGGCTTTTGTTCACCTATCAGCTGACTACTTACTTATGTCAGTGTTATTAATAGTGCCATTATCCAAAGTAAGCTGAATCAGCAATATGTGAATTGTTGAGTCAGCATGAAGCGAGGAACAGCTATGTCAGCTGTATCCAAATAAATCCATTCTTCTTGTTTTTAAACCTGGTTCATGGAGCTCTCCATACTATCACTGCCACCAGTCACAGGTCCCCAGTGTGCACGGAGCTCTCTCTACTATCACTGCAACCAGTCACAGGTCCCCAGTGTGCACGGAGCTCTCTCTACTATCACTGCCACCAGTCACAGGTCCCCAGTGTGCACGGAGTTGAACTCACAACCAACTGACCGTTATGTCTACAAACACGCAATGACTGCCATGACACCGAGTTGAATTGCTTTCTTTGTCAGTTTGATTTTCTATTTTATTTCAACTGACTTGTAATTAGTGAGAATGCAAGGGGTAAGTTGAGTGATTTTCCAAATGTCAGGATGTGGGATTTGAGGGAACGTTGGCAAGACTCTTGTAATGGTTGCTTGCACTCTGATGGCAGTGATGACACTGGGACCTCATATAAACATTTTGACGTCATGATGTCAGTTTTTTTTTAAAAAGATAACTGGATAAGTACATTTATTTTCGAGGAATAATACCATGTTTGTCCACCTTCAGGTGACCTTGAGCAGGTGAGAGTCTTCATCTTCAAGCTGCTGACCAGTGGCTATCTGGGCTACGTGGAGTCAGTGCTGGCTGTCGTGGGGGTGTGGCCGCTCACGCTCATGGGAGGGGCAGGTGAGTGATTCACGGGGCCAGGTGTAGAAGGGACTGATTGGTTGGTTTGTTGTATAACGCCGCACTCAGCAATATTCCAGCTATATGACGGCGGTCTGTAAATAATCGAGTCTGGACCAGACACAGTGATTAATATCATGAGCATCGATCCACGCAATTGGGATCGATGACATGCATCAACCAAGTCAGCGAGCCTGACCACCCGATCCCATTAGTCGCCTTTTATAGCATGCATAGTCACCTTTTACGGCAAGCATGGGTTGCTAAAGACCTATTCCAACCCAGAATCCTCACGGGTCAGCAGGGACTGATGTATAGGCCCTGAGAGGATTCAAGGTCAGCATTGGTCATTGATGGTCGTAACATTTATTGTTTGTTTGTTGTTTAACATCGCCCTCAGCAATATCCTTGCTACATGATGGCGGTAGAGTCTGGACCAGACATTCCAGTGATTGTCATCATGAGCATCGATCTACATAATTGGGATACGATGACATGCATCAACAAAGTCAGCGAGCCAGACCACCCAATCCCGTTAGTTGCCTACAACAAGGATGGGTTGCCGAAGATCAATTCTAACCCGGATCTTCACCGTTCACTGGTTGTTCAAGGCAACCAAATAGATTGGGTGGTTAGATTCAATGACTTGGTTGATTGCGTTTATTGTATCCCAACAACATTGGTCGCTGCTCATAATATCAGTCACTGGATCGATAGATCCAGATTTAATTATTATAGCTGAAATATTGCATTGGAGTGTAGTGTTAGGCAACAAACAAACAAGCTATATTAACCAGAGGTAGTCTGTCTCCCAGAACAAAGAATAAGAAAAAAGAATTTTAGTCGAGAATGTTTTGGCAAGTCAAGATTTCCTCAGCCTGAAATAAGACATTGTTCTGGGCTCAATTTTAATTATGATTTTTATTTTGTAGATATATTTTAAAATATTTAACTATATTTCTGGGACTGAATGTTAGTCTGAGCCAGGAAGGTGATACTAACAATGTTTCTGCCTATGAGAAAGCTACAAGCATAACAAGTCTAAGATCATATGAGTTATGAGGTTATATGAGACGATTCGGAGTAAGCTCTTACGCCAATACAGACTTTTGTCCACTCTAGTCATCTTCATCTGGTGACTGTGAGAGATGATGAAGCCCGGTCATCAGGTATTATCAGTTTCATGTTAATGACTCCTGTTTACAAGCATATCACCTTGACACTGGCCTGTTGCAGACATGCCTCCGATGATCCAGGTTGTGCGACACACCATCCTGGAAGCCGGAACAGCTGAGGGAGCAGACGGCTTTGTGCAGAAAGTGAGTGTCAGTGGAACATATGGGCTTAACATGTACAACGCAATTCTGCCTTCCTCTCTAATCACCATCTTACCATCTCACCCTCGACAACTCTTAAGTTATTGTGGGGTGTTTTTGCTAAGTTTGTGTAACCAGATGATATTATTTGCTCAACCACACACCTTTTAACCAGCAATTCATCCTTCAACCATCCATTCATCATTCAACCATCCATCTACTTTTAAATCATCCATCCCTCATTCAACCATCTATCTACTTTTAAATCATCCATCCACCATTAAACCATCCATCCATCCTTCAACCATCCATCCATGCTTAAATCATCCATCCATCAACCCTTAAACCATCCATCCTTCCTTAAACCATCCATCCATCCTTCAACCATTCATCCACCCTTATATCATCCATCCTTCCTTCAACCATCCATCCACCCTTAAATCATCCATCCATCCTTCAACCATCCACCCACCCTTAAACCATCCATCCTTCCTTCAACCATCCATCCACCCTTAAACCATCCCAGCTTCCTTCAACCATCCATCCACCCTTAAATCATCTATCCATCCTTCAACCATCCATCTGACCACCTCCGTGGTCTAGTGCTAGAGCGTCCGCCCGGAGAGCAGAAGGTCCGGGGTTTGATCCCCGGCCTCGTCATACCAAAACACGTTAAAAGATGGTACTTGTTGTTACCCTGTCTGGCAGCCACAGCAGCCACACAAACACATACAGGTACATTACATGCACTTCGCTATATAAGTGCAATAATCTTGGATGCGACGTTAAACCCCATTTTCACCTCCCGTCACCTCAACCATCCATCCACACCTAAACCATCCATCCACCCTTAAATCATCCATTCTTCATCAATCCATTAAACCACCCATCCATCATTCAACCATCCATCCATCCTTCAACCATCCATCCACACCTAAACCATCCATCCACCCTTAAATCATCCATTCTTCATCAATCCATTAAACAACCCATCCATCATTCAACCATCCATCCACACTTAAACCATCCATCCACCCTTAAATCATGCATCCATCTGCCCTTAAATCATCCATCCATCCTTCAACCATCCACCCTTAAACCATCCATCATCCATCCTTCAACCATCCATCCACCCTTAAATCATCCATCATCCTTAAACCATCCATCCATCCATCCTTCAACCATCCATCAACCCTTAAACCATCCATCCATCCTTAAACCATCCATCCATCCTTCAACCATCCATCAACCCTTAAACCATCCATCCATCCTTAAACCATCCATCATCCATCCTTCAACCATCCATCCACCCTTAAATATCCATCCATCCTTCAACCATCCATCCACCCTTAAATCATCCATCCATCCTTCAACCATCCATCCACCCTTAAACCATCCATCCATCCTTCAACCATCCATCCTTCAACCATTCATCCACCCTTATATCATCCATCCATCCTTCAACCATCCACCCACCCTTAAACCATCCATCCTTCCTTCAACCATCCATCCACCCTTAAACCATCCCAGCTTCCTTCAACCATCCATCCACCCTTAAACCATCCATCCATCCTTCAACAATCCATCCATCCTTCAACATCCATCCATCCTTCAACCATCCATCCATCCTTTAATCATCCACCCATCCTTCAACCATCCATCCATCTTTCAACCATCCATCCATCCTTCAATCATCCACCCATCCTTCAACCATCCACCCATCCTTCAACAATCCATCCACACTTAAATCATCCATCCATCCTTCAACTATTCATCCACCCTTATATCATCCATCCATCCTTCAACAATCCATCCACACTTAAATCATCCATCCAACCTTCAACCATCCATCCATCAATCAACCATCCATCCATCCATCCATCATTCAACCATCCATCCATACTTCAGCCATCCATCCATCATTCAACAATCCAGACGCCCCCCACCTGTTCATCCCGACACCCTCCCTCACTCCAGCTGTGTGTTTCAGCTGATGATGTGCTACCAGAAGATCTGCCAGTGGCCGCCCCTGTCCGAGTCCCCCGCTGATCTTCTGTCTTCCCTCATCAACAGACTCAAGCAGTCCATCATCACAAAGCAGCATCATGGTGAGGCCCTGACAGAATCTCAGATGGTCAGGGACCAGTTCAAAAGTTTCATGTCGGATAATAATCTTAATTCATAAGTTCAGAGGTTTTATAAAGTAACTAAACAAAGCACAAACTGGAATCCTATTTCACTGATCCTATTTCTATTCATATCTGTTAGGATTTGTCGTTAGATATCTTCCTGGGGCAAGGGAGACTGACAAACTAGACTGGAATTTCTGGGCTCAATTGTAGTGCCACCAGTGGCTGTTACGAGTTATGTCCCTTCTATGTCCCTCCTACTGCCAGTCAGATTCCACCTCTCATATCACTTGTATTTGCCACTCATCACCAATCACCCCTTTCCGTAACCTGCAAGAAGACTCGTCCCTCTATCGATGAATGTTATGTGCAAAAATACGACGAGCCATTCAGAATGCGCGTATGATTTCAAGTTCTTCGTCAAAGAATCCCCCAGAAATAATTTTTGATTTTACATATGTCTTGCATCTAAAAATATACCCAAGACACATTTAAATGTGTTCAGTCATACTGTATAATTCTGCAGGTCCCGATGTGCTTTAAATTGCATCTGAAATATTTATATTATATAGGGAAATATATGTGAAACATTACGCAACGAGTTGACAATTGGTTTAGGTATGCCCGTTTGCGGAACCCGATCGCAAAAATGGCCATGTGAGGGGCATGAGACGTTATTCGGCTTGTCCCGGAATAACACGAGTTGGTCACAAATGTTGTATTTGCTTCAGACAAAATGGTGGCGCCCAGTCAAAACAATCTGATCGATAATCGGGATCTGTATTGAAACAAAACGAGTCTTACCCCGCGAAGTGCATCAAATCACTTGAGCACCATGATTAAGAACATGAAAAGATTTGCAAAATATCTGTTGACGCCCAGTTGGCAAAACACATGCTTTGCAAACCTACAGGCGAGCAAAATCTGCACGTTGAAATCCATGTTGAATATGAACCGGATGTCTAGTACGTTAAGTGATTTTGATTGGACTATGTATAGACTCAATAGTCCAGTATCAGGTATTTCCACTAGGTGGGGATTCGTCATCACCAGAACTAGTGCTAAGTCCTTCTAGTACAGTTCGTTATGATTTTCAACACCTAGTAAATAAACTTCATTCAGTAAAGTCAGGGCAAGACACGAGAATCTAAAAGAGGCCACTAAATTCAGGAATCCATCATTTTCAGAATTATGTTTTTTTGGTAGGTAGGGGGTATGTCTCAAAACTTTAGGAATTCTTTTTTATCCGAAGACAAACTTTTAAAAAGGGCCCCGAATTATGATACTATGCTGCCACGGAAACATTTACATTTGAGATTTCATAATGATGGTAAAGTGGGGCAATATCAAGGCAGAAAATTCAAATTTAAATATTTAATGGATCAGTTTAGTTTCTATTTTGCATTAAGTTGATTAATTTCAGGTCTAGATAGAAAATTGTTATTTATACACATACAGAACATATAGAATAACTACTTTTGTTATTAATTGATAATTATATTATTGATGATGATGATGATGATGTTCTGGGTGAACAGAGGCATATTTTCGAACGAAGTCTCTTGCCTCATGAGACACCACATGTGGTGTATGTGTTTTTATAAGTTTGCTAATGTTTTTTGCTGTTTCATTCCCAGGTTGTATTTATGAAACCATGAAGAGTATTGAGCTGTTGCTATGGAAACAAGGTTGGAAGTTTGTTTACATGCACTTCGTAAATCGCCACTTTAACTCAGTCACTGATGCCTGGAAAGCCAAGGGAGATAACTCGAGTGTGGATCCTCGCTTCCTAAACACTATGATCAGAATATTTGGTGAGTGTAGTAGATCTGGTAGCTTTGTCAGGAGTGACAAATGTTGAATATTTAAAAATCAGTTCCCTCAAGTTGGTCTGAAATTGTTTGAGCTTGTTGAAACTCTAATGTTCTAAAAATAATTACCCTCCCCTGATATGAGAGTTGTCATATTTTTGGATGACACTCCCCATGTCTCTCCTCGAAATGACAAGATGCAAAAGCACTTTATATTTTATTATCACAGGTCAGTTTTTTCTTGAGCCCCCCAAATATATGTATTATTTTTTATGACCCTCCCCAAAATGACGAAATGCAAAAGCACTTATATTTTATTATCAAATATCAATTTTTTCATGACACTCCCCAAATAGGTATTATTTTTACGACCCTTCCCTAGAGATTGTCATTTTTTCGATGACCCACCCCCAATGCCCTCTGACCTTTACTTAACTTTGATGATTTGTGTTCCAACATGTCGCTTACAAGTTATAGGAATTTTATGTCACTGAAATCACACAGTTACTTCTATGAAGAAATGAATTAAGCTATGTTCTTAGTCAAAGATGTTTATTGGTTTTTTTTAGCTTTTCAATTGTGGTGATCTGGTTTAAATATTGATCTTGTGAATATTATCTGTTTGTTGTGCCTCCCATGGGAATTCCGGGTTAGAGTTGATCCCAACAACTGGGACTCTGAGTGGTCAGAGTCGGTGACTTAGTGGATTGTGTGTCATCATACCCTCATTCGACTATTTACAGACAGGATCTGGTGGTCAGGTTTGCTGACTTAGTTGATGCATGTCATCGTTTCCCAATTGCCTGGATTGATGCTCATGACATCAATCATTGGATTTTTTGGTCCAGACTTGATTAAGTTCAAACCGCTGTCATAGAGCTGGAATATTGTTGAGTGCATCTTTAAACAACAAACAAACAACAAATATGTTGTACTTATGTGAATCATCTCTATGACAGCAAATTTTATTGGCTAACAAGAAAAATTGTTTTTAATCAAAAGATGTAGCCACACCCACACTCTTTCCGCTTAGTTTGTAAAGTATGTCATACATTTTCTTCTTCACACATGACCAGCAAATTAATTTGAGACACATTGCAGAAAGTGTCAGTAATGTTACACTGACATCTGTGTAGTCTCAGGATCATTAATTCCACTTTGACAGTGACAGATTAAAACAGCTTGCATGCTATTGCCTCAGTTCCTAACTCAGTGAATCAAACAATGTCGGGTTTTATGACACTCAGTCTCAGAGGCATGGGTGGCCAGTAGCTTAAGGCACAGAAGCTTGCTGTGCAGAGTTGTGTCCCTTGGGTGTGCTGGAAACCTATGATCATGGTTTGAACCCAAGGCTCACCATGGTTATGTGTTTGTTGGTTTGTTTGTTGGTTGCTGTTTAACGCCTCACTCAGCAATATTCCAGCTGTATGATGGTGGTGTGTGCATAATCTAGCATCGATCTACGCAATTGGGATAAGATGACTTCATCAACCAAGTCACCCAAACTGACCACCCAATCCTGTTAGTCGCCTCTTACGACAAGCATAGTCGCCTTTTACCACAAGCATGGGTTGCTGATGACCTATTCTAACTTGGATCTTCACAGGGCCCATGATTATGTGTCTAGGTGTGTCACCACAATACCTGTATCACCAAAGTAACCATCTGAGACCTGCATGAATTCAGGTTCCCCCCACATGAAGCCGACACGCTGTGATATAACCGACATACTGTTCAAAGTGATGTTAAACCCAACTCACTCACTCCCCTCATATAGCCATCTTCCCGTGGCAAGGGAGTTAACTGATAATAAAAGTCCAGTTTCCACCCTTGCCAAACTAGGCTTGAATTTCGTAGCATGATCATAGCACCGCCAGTGGCTATAACAAGTTATGTCCCTTCTATGTTCCTCCTATTGACCAATCAGATTCGATATCGCTTGCCTTTGCTTCCAACAAGATGGCGGCACCTAGTCAAGACGATCTGATCGATAGTCAAGGCCTGTTTTGTAATTAAATGGGTCCTACCTCGCAAAGTGCATCAAATCATTTGAGCACCTTGATGTAAAACATGAACATATTTGTAAAATATCTATTGACGCCCCGTTGATGGTACGCACGCTTTACAAATCTTGCAGTTGACGGAAATCTTCACTTTTAAATCCATGTTGTTAACAAACCTGATGTCTAGTTTGTTGTGCGATTGGACAATGCAAAGACTCGTTAGTCCAGCCAAAATGTAACTCCAGAATTCCAGCCTAGTTCGGCAAGGGTGGAAACTGGACTTCTATAGTCAGTTAACTCACTTGCCTCGGGAAGATGACGATAGCATGCTCCCTGTGTTTCAGGAAATGTGTACCACCTTCCCAAGTTCTCCCACAAGCACAAGGACTTCCTCAAGGTCCTCAAGCGATGTTTCATCTCAACCCTAGAACGTCCTACAGGTATGGCAGTCGAACCATTGTTGTCAATTTTCTGTTCAATATTTTGTATGAGGTTGGTCCCTGACAGAGTTCAGCAAAGTGATAAGCGTAATAAATGTTATATTTGGGATAACACTTTCTTCGTAAAGTACAGAATCTCGTACTTTGGGGGGTTGAGTCCTTTCTGGGTTTCGAACCCACACTGCCAGAGTGAGGCACCTAATCGCCAGCACACAAAGTCAGCGATCTAACCCACTCGGCCACCGAGGCTTCCACTAGAATGAAAGTACAACAACTGGTAGTCTTGATCACGTACTTTGTGTAAGTACAAGTGTGAATTGGCACGGCTCCCATGGCCGAATGCTATGAACACACAATGCCACTTGTCACCCTGCTGAAAATATTGTTGAGATATAAGCATTTGTAGCATGAAACCCCACACATTCACTCTGTTGAAGCTGAATGTTTAATATTTACAGAACACTTTGAGGTCCAACTGTATGCTGCTGAGGTCCTGGCGGAGTTATCTCCCTTCCACCCCCAGTTCATCATGGACGCCCTCGCGGAGTGGTACACGCACAACAGGGTCATGGTTCCAGCCCAACAACGGACTTACCTGGAACAGACAAGAAATGCCCTCATCGCTAAAATGCCCACTTTCTTCGTTGAAAAATTTGCATGATTGTATAACATGTTTTAAAAAATGTTAATTTATTTTGGAAACCATTATGACTGCTGTGAATTCAATTACAATTTTGAACGCACAATTTATCAGAAACTGCATAGTATTTTGATATTTTGGATGTGTGAGAGGTTGATGTTGGTGTCTGTATATATTGGTTTTTTTGTCAGAGGGAAGTGATGATGGAGTTTGTTATGTACTAGTGTGAATCTTGATAGACGTCAGGCCTAGTTCATGTGGTATCCCTGCTGACTGGTGTCAGATACAGAAACAAGTTTTAGCTTACCTAACATTAAAATACAAGCTTCTGATTGGTTAAGGAATTATTTTCCTTTAGCCTGCTCAGTGGTGGGGTACAAATGTCATGTGACCCACTGAGAAATCAATCGGAACACATCTTAGGGTACTTGCTTACCTCGTATAAGTATTGTTTAATGTCTGAAGTGAACATATGTTTATCCGAATGTATTGGGTAAAGGGTAGTATCTTGGTTTGTTTGCTGCGTCAGCTACGAGTTTTGCAAACACATATTTTTTATGTGTATGAATGAATGTCAGTAAGATATATTCGTTAAAACCTATGGATAAATCTATCCCAGGGGCATATAGTGTGAAGTACCCTGCCGCTGTCTCCATTAGACTCACACACAGGGTACATCCCACCAAGACGACTAACGGGATCAGGTGGTCAGGCTCGCTGACTTGGTTGATGCTCATGATGTCAATCACTGGATTGTCTGGTCCAGACTCGATTATTTACAGACCGCCGTCATATAGCTGGAATATTGCTGAGTGTGGCGTTAAACAACAAACAAACAAACAAAATATCACAGCATCTGCCTCTCAAGATCAGCTGACAACTTATAATATAATCAGCATGTTTATACATATACTCAAATCCAAAAGAAATGAGACTTTCATAATATGTTCTAAATGTGATTAAAACGAATTGAGTTTTGAATGACTTGTATCCAACTTATGTCTACAAATTGTTCAAGGTGTTTCCCTCTTCGAGTGCCAACATCCTGATAGAATAATGAGCTGATGTTACGACTTGTGGAGTCGATACTTCAGTACATGGTCTGCTGTCAACTCCACGCATAACAAACAGATGTGGCTTTCAGAGGCACGAAATGTTTCACATGTTTGTGAAAGTCGTGTATGTACATAATAATCTGAGCTGGTTTCATGGAAATAGGATTTTCATGCATTGAGTTCATTGTTGACTGTGATTTATTTTATATGGTATTATTTCTGATAGTTTTGTACAATTTTCTATAATTTGATATTCTAGTTTGTATATTTTGTATAATTTGTTTTTGTGGTTTTATTAGCATGTGAACATAAATGATTTTGTCGAAAATACTAAAGTCATAGTATCTTGAATTAAGTAATAATATTTTGTATATTTTGTGGTAGTAAACTTATAACTCCAATACACACTCGATACAAACTCTGGTCCCATAAACTGTGGTCTCCAATTAACGCAGAGTCATTAAATCAGGCTGATGCATGTCATCGTATCCTAATTTCGTGGATCGATGCACATGATGTCAATCACATGATTGTCTGGTCCAAACTCGATTATTTACAGACCGCCGTCATATAGCTGGAATATTGCTGAGTTCGGAGCTAAACAACAAAAGACAAACATTAAATCAGGCAAGTGATATTTCTGTCTAAAGTCAGATTTCCATTTTTTATATATGTCCTGTAACAATGTTTCAATGTCGGACATGTGTTTTTGGACTTACCAGTCTTCTAGTCTTTCCATCTTTTTTTATCATTTTTCAATCACATGCCTGTTATATGAAACATATACGCAGGTATATCTATTATAGGAAATATGGTAGACAATTGGATCTAATCAAAACATGGGAAAGCACATGGTGTTATTATTCTGTAGATATAGTAGGTGTAGTGGCTACTGATAAATGTAATACCAAAGGCTTGAACATATTCTAGTCATGCATGGCTGTGAATCAGTTTTGCCACGTCAGCAGTTTTGACATGTGTTTTTCTCTGATCACATGATGATTGATAGTTTAAGTATACTGCATACAGCACCTCTCAAGTTGTACAGAAGACGTCATGTGGTTCACACTAGGCCCATGGCAATAGCTTTAGAAATAGGAGATTTCACACACAGTATTTCTTGAGTAATGTTCAAGTTAAAACTGTTTTATGATTTTTGAGAGACATATTTGACAGATGACGCTTTTCCCATGACAAACACAGATAAACAGATTTGTCTTCTCAAAACTAGTAGAAGCATTCGGTTTGCTCTCCATCTGATTCTACTGACACCTATTTTTGTGTTATATTTGTGCAATATTTTGTATATTTGTACCTAGTGCTCATTGTTGAGATATTTTCCCCATGTTGTAACATATGCTTATGGATACGTGTACATACCTGTCTATTGTAGCGCTGCACTATCGAGTCTCACCATTGTCTCACAATCACATGTCTGTCACCATTGTATCACACAGTTGCAAGTCTGTCACCATTGTGTAACACAATTATGTGTCTGTCACAATTGTGTCAGACAATCACGTATCTGTCACCATTGTGTAACACAATCATGTGTATGTCACCATTGTGTAACACAATCAAGTGTCTGTCACCTTTGTGTGACACAATCAAGTGTCTGTCACCATTCGGTTACACAATCGTATGTATGTCACCATTGTGTAACACAGTCATGTGTCTGTCACCACTGTGTAACACAATCATATGTATGTCACCATTGTGTAACACAGTCATGTGTATGTCACCATTGTGTAACACAATCATATGTATGTCACCATTGTGTAACACAATCATATGTATGTCACCATTGTGTAACACAATCATATGTATGTCACCATTGTGTAACACAATCATGTGTATGTCACCATTGTGTAACACAATCAAGTGTCTGTCACCATTGTGTAACACAATCATGTGTCTGTCACCATCGTGTTGCACTGCAATATGTCGATCCAATTCTGTCAAACAGCCAATGATGAAACCTCTTCAGCAACTGAGCCTTACAATGTATATTGTTGATTCACCACTATTGTGACTGTGATACCTTGACACTGTTGTCTCACTCACTCACTCACTCACTCACTCACTCACTCACAAGAAGCAAATTAAATGTGGATTAGATGGTCACAATGTCTACCAATTCGAGTTTGGTTTTGACAGACGGACAATACCAACTGTCTCAAAACATGAACCATCCTTGATTATCCTGTGTAATATGTCTCCATTCTATTACATGAAAGACCCAGGGCCCTGTTCCACAAAGCAATTGTAGCGGTAAGGTGATCGTAACTCTCACACTTTAACATAGAATTATGACGGTCATAGCACTACAATCACGATGTGGAACAGGGCCCTGATCCAATCGCCACCACAGCTTGTCCCAGAAGAATCCTCGATTGTATACAGGATGCCATCATATAACTCAGCTATTGCTGAGTGGGGCTTGATAAACAAACAAACAAAATACAGTGTACCTATAATACACTGGGTAATCAAGGAGTGGTATGAACACAATGCCCTCAATGTCCAGATCATCTTCCGGAGGCTAGAGAGTTACAGACTTTAAAAGTCCAGTTTCCTCCCTTGCTGAACTAGGCTGGAATTCCTGGGCTCGATCGTAGCGCCACCAGTGGCTATTATGAGAAATGTCCCTCCTATGCCTCTCCTATGGAGACCGCCTCCGTGGTCTTGTGGTAGAGCGTCCGCCCGGAGAGCAGAAGGTCCGGAGTTCGATCCCCGGCCGCGTCATGCCAAAAGACGTTAAAAGATGGTACTTGTTGTTACCCTGTCTGGCGCTCGGCATTAAGGGGCTAAAACAAGGACTGGTCGGCTCGGAGTCAGTATACTGTGTCTGAGTGGGGTATTCATGTTAAACTGCAGCATGGTATCTCAGTGAGCTAGCACTATAAATCGGCATCAGTCAGGACTAGTACAAGCAGCCACACAAACACACACACGTACATGCACGTCGCTATTTAAGTGCAATAATCTTGGACCCGACGTTAAACCCCATTTCACCTCACCTCTCCTATGGACCAATCAGATTCCACCTTTCGTATCACATGCATTTGCTTAAAACATAACGGCACCAAGTCAAGACAATCTGATCGATAGTCAAGATAAAACAGGTCTTATATCGTGAAGTGCACATCAAGTTCGGCAAGGGTGGAAACTGGATTTTTATAGTCAGTTTACTCTCTTGCCTCGGGAAGATGTGTCCAAATCTACACATGACTCCAATGTGGAGGTTTCTCTCATCTTTTTCCTTGTTGTGTTTGTTGATTTGAATGTTGCATAATAGCAGAGGAGGGGTAGGGAGAATTAACAGGAGAATAATTCATGGTATTACTTTGAACATCAACAGGGGATGGAGTGTCTTATATACTGAAGGGTTGATGGTGTATAGCTACCTGTCTGGGTTCAAGTCCTTGCACGAGGGATTATTTCGTGTTTCTTTCTTCATTGAATTGAGATTCTGCTGACTAATCGTAAACCACTCACTCACTCATTTATGGTGTGGTTGCAAAGTGCTGTAAGCAGCATGCGATCTATACTGCTCAGCGTTTGATAGGGATAATCATATACCGTATTCGACGTAATAAGAGCCCACGGTGATATTTGCTGATGTATCAGAAGTGAACAATCCCAATTAGCACCCCTTCCGATTGATCAATGTACACAAGACTTATTTATTCGTGTTTAATGCGCGTGTTAAATTAATTTTTGGGAAATGTATCTGTCGTGTATAATACGCACAGACTTCTTTGGTTTCATTTCAGGCTGTTAGCAAAAACCATGAAATTTACGATCTTTCAACTCTGGGTTGTTTTTTTCACCAAAATAATATTTTAATAAGAGCCCCCTATTTCTAATTTTGAGAGCGCCCTGGGCGCTTATTACGTCGAATGCGGTATGTCATTCTATTTAAATATTCCTAGCATATGAGGATCAGTTTTGTGTATCATGGTAAGATAAAATAGATATCCCTATGAAAAGTGGATCAGTATACAGTACACTGTATTCCCGGATCTTCCTCATCCTTTACAAACACACAAACAGCTTCCAATCTGTCTTGATGCCAGACTGCCCAAAATGGTCAATGCTGTGTTGTAGATTTTTTATTAACAAAATGCACAATGCAAATGTATATTAGTGTATAAAATAGCTGGGGCAAGAAATTAGTCCAAGAATTCATTGTGCGTTGAGATAGGTTTCTGAGGTTTCTGAGCGCATGCTCTTTTGAAAATATTCTTGAGGTCCAAATTCATATTGCAGTCTGCAACTTTAGTCACAAGTCCGAATCCCAAAGGCAATAAAAGTCTGTCTAGTAATCCCAGCTTGTAATGCTGTAATTATAACATTAAAATATACAGAAAATTCTGCTTCTAGCCAAGTTCGGGCTAGAAGATTCAGAAGTTTTTGGCGCAGACTGATATTGAAGACATAATAGAGCGTTTTGTTTGAAACTGTTTGTCATTGTTATACAAGATTGTGGTTCATCAACTGTTTTTGAGCAATTATTTTGATTGGCTTTTGTGATTGTTTCCTAGTATTCTGTTGGAGATATCTATTGTAGAATATAGTGAGCTTGTTGTTTTGGAGATATGTATTGTAGAATGTAGCGAGCTGGTTTTGTACAGATGAGATTCACCAAGTCCAGCATCAGGGAATATGAACTACTAGCTATTCTACTACTACTACTACTACTACTACTACTACATTGATCTACATGTAACAAAGTTTTAGACAACCTGTAGAGGATTGGGTGTGTCCTAATAGATCCGAAAGAGTTATGAACTGTTGACCTTTTCTTCAGTGTTTTGAGGGGTCTTACGATAGAGAAGGTAATATTTAGACCTGGCTGATGGAAATGTTTTGTGTAGTCACTCTACTGGTTTGTGACTAATACTTCTTACCAACCCATGGTGCCAATCTCAAACTTGAGATTTGTTAGGAAAGTAATATGATTGACATGTAAGAAAAGTAGTATGATTGACATTTGTTAGGAAAGTAATATGATTGACATGTGAGGAAAGTAGTATGATTGACATTTGTTAGGAAAGTAATATGATTGACATGTGAGGAAAGTAGTATGATTGACATTTGTTAAAAAAATAATATGATTGACATGTAAGGAAAGTAGTATGATTGTCTACTGTACAAAGGTATTGATTGACATCTGTTAGGAAAGTATTATGATCGACATGTGAGGAAAGTTGTATGATTGACTTATATAAAATATGTAATATGATAGTTTTAAGAAATTAGTATGATTGGCATTTGTTAGGGAATTAGTATGATTGACATTTGTTAGGGAATTAGTATCATTGACAGTTTTAAGACATTAGTATGATTGAAATTTGTTTGGGAATAAGTATCAATGACAGTTAGGAAAGTAGTCCCTGATGGTGTACAGCCATGAATCCAGAGGAGGCCTCAAGGAGGCTGGTTGACATTCCATGGATTTTACCAAGTGATAAAACGACTGAATACTCTTGAGTTTGTTGTTTGTTTTATTTTTCTTACAGCGCCAAAGATTCAAAGATTTGTTGATTTTCCAACTTGAATTATGTCATCTTTAGTGTTTTTCCACTCCTTGAACAAACTCTGAATAATCCCTTTTAGTGTTTTTAAAAGGAAGATCCGGGGTAGAATAGGTCTTCAGGACCCATGCTTGCCCTAAAAAGCGACTATGCTTGCCGTACGAGGTTAGAGGTGACAAACGGATCGGGTGGTCAGGCTCGGACTTGGTTGATGCATGTCATCGTGCCCCAAATACGTGGATCGATGCTTATGATGTCGTCAATCACTGGATTGTCTGGTCCAGACTTGATTATTTACAGACCGCCGCCATATAGCTGGAATATTGCCGAGTGCGGCGTTAAACATCAAACAAACATCATTGCATGACTGCCCGTTGAGACGTTACTCAACACCAGTCCCTTGACTTCCTGTTTGGTAAGTCTAGATTGCCTATTAGTCTGGTCTAGTACAAGAGAGCGCTCGCACCACACACACACACACACACACACACACACTCACCTCACCTCACCTCACCTCACCTCACCTCACCTCACCTCACCTCACCTTGTAATGGAATAGAATACGAAGTTGACCAGTATTGGCTTATATTGTGAGGTACGGTGAAGATCTAGGATAGAGGTTTCCAGCAACCCATGCTTGCTGTAAAAGGCAACTATGCTTGTCGCAAGATGCGACTAACGGGATCGGATGGTCAGGCTCGCTGACGTTGATGTATGACATCGTATTCTAATTGCGTGGATCGATGCTCATGATACCAATCACTGGATTGTCTGGTTCAGACACGATAATTTACAGACTGCCGTCATATAGCTGGAATATTGCCGAGTGCGGCGTTAAACAACAAACGAACAAAAGTTATATTGTGACGAAACCGGGACTGACCCCAAGAAGACAAGACCATAATAATGTCCAACTTGACAAGAACTGACACTGTCATGCCACTGACAAGTGAGTTGGGTTTAACGCCGCTTTTAACAGTATTACAGTTATATCGCGGCGTGTCAGCTTAATGTGGAAGGAAAGCCCGAAGTGATGCAGGTCTCAGACGTTTACCACTTCGGTGAAACCCACGAGCACAGGTATGGTGCTGACAAACCTAGAAACATAATCGGGGCGAACCGGAATTCGAACCCACAGTCATAGGTTTCTGGCGTATCCAAGGGACGCAATTCTGCACAGCGAATCGCGGCGCCTTAGACGACTGGGCCACCCGTGCCCCCATCACTGACAAGACCAAAGTAATGTGTGACAGTAGTCTGGCAACCGTATCCTCTCTAAATAAAACAGACACCGTTGACGTTGATTATGTTTATTCTGTTTATAATTCAGGACACAAACATTGGTATGACACGGGGAATCTTCACAAGCAATAAATAAATAAATATTATATTCACGAGAGATTGAGACTTGCGACCATACTCCCGTCCTGTACAGTACTCTCGCGTATCATTGCAGGACCGCACCGTGAAGATCCTGGGTAGAATAGGTCTTCAGCAACCCATGCTTGCCGATAAAGCACCTATGTAAGGGGCGACTAAAGGGGATTGGGTGGTCGCTGACTTGTTTCATGCATGTCATCGTATTCTAATTGCGTGGATCTATGTTCATGATGTCAATCACTGGATTGTCTGATCCAGACTTGATTATTCACAGACCCCCATCATATAGCTGGAATATTGCTGAGTGCGGCGTTAAACATCAAACAAACATCATTGCATGACTGCCCGTTGAGACGTTACTCAACACCAGTCCCTTGACTTCCTGTTTGGTAAGTCTAGATCGCCTCAGCTCAGCTTGGGAAATTAAGGATTGTTCTGGGCTCCATTTGGCTTCTATTGTTTATATTTTGTGGATAATTATTTTGAAATAGATAACATTATTTCTGGTTCTAAATGTCAGTCTAAAAGAGCAGCGGTCGAGTAGCGGAGTGATAAAACCGTTCGCTCAAACGCCAAAGACCGGGGTTCGCTTCCCCCGCCGTGATCAGGCAGGAATATTGCTAAAAGCGGCGTAAAATCAAACTCACTCACTCAGTCTAAAAGATTTCCAGACGGAATAGAAATCAAATATTCCACAGTTGTAAGGCCCCCTGGACGTGGGTGACCTAGCTGAAGACGACGCTGCCCCGACTGCTCTGATGACACGCATGCTAGCAATAAACCTCTAAAGTATGTCTGGTCCAGCTCAGTTACAGGGCGGTGATATGCTCAATGGCAAAAGTCTATATAAAAACTATGCACGTGTTACACATTCATATTGTATAGAGACCCCATTAGAATAGGCTCCTAGCACTCTTTGCAGGTCAAAATCATCGTCGATCGAACGCTTCAACGGGATAAACATTTGAAACTGAAGAGAATTTCCATAGCCTGTGGGATCACGGCCCTCGTGGACATTCCAGAATTTAATTTCTTTTGTTCAGTTTTCACATTCTGAATCAAAAGTTTTCAAAGGGTAATCTGGAATGAAAGTCGTCAGTTTGAAACTAGTGCCGTAAAGCTCGAGAAAGCTGCTTTCTGATTGGCTATTGTCGACTTCTTGTTTATCATTTCATTGGTCGGTCAGAGTTCGCGTAAGGTCATTCTGACGTGACCTCTAACAGGATGACCTCAAATCTTTGTGTAGCAGTGGCGAACACTAAGCTCTGATTTTAATGAGATTGAAGCGGGGCTGTACCCAACTCACTGCTGTTGAATACATTTATAGTACATGTCGCGTCTCGTTATATCAGATACCAATAAATACATAAAAACCTACTTAACTCGGCGCACTATGCCTCTGTGATGACGATCTCGCCAGGCGCTACTGAAATTGTAATGGCATTTCTCAATACATTAATGCTATTAATCCTACAAGATCGGATCAGAATCACTCTCCCTGAATGAACGCACATATTAACACCAGCACAGAAGTTCGCGTTCACATCACGGAGCAGTGACCTGATTTCTGATGGCGTTCAACAAGACACTCCCTATGTACAAACGTAGTAAAACAAAATGTCAACATCACTGGCATTGCTTTGGGAGATTTGTGTTTTAACTGGCACAATCGTCGTGTCTTCACAGAACAGTTGTCATGGCAACAGTTTCTGATTCCACTTTCGTATCCTGGTACCGGTTTTAGTTTCTTGTTTACCCGACGGCGACCACGTGTAATACCCAGTTGGAGGACAAACGACATTTGGATCAAAATTGTTCCCATGAAGTTTGGGTGTCAAGATTCGTAATAGTTTAAGCCTTAACTTCTTTAGAGTAATATAATAATACCCTCTCCGACTGAATCATCCACTGCGGCAAAATAAACGCCACTGGTAATCCTCGACGCTAGACTGGTCCCCTGCCCTTTTCGCCTAAGCTGGCTGTCTAGACAAGCAAGCGTGCGCAACAGAGGCAGAAGATCAGTCTATCCTGGACACAAAACCTTACAAAATCGGATTCCAATGTGGTGAAACCTCGTTTATCCGGACCATTAATACGAGGTAACTTTCCCTTGGATATATACAGTCGTTCCCAACAAGATCGTACCGAAGACAGGATGTATGGATTAACGAGGTTTCAAAACACGCAGAATGAAGTCAATGGCCATGTTTTGAAGGCCAGATCAATTAACACGTGGGCTAGGCATGTGTCCGGCATTCTGCGGAATGGCACAATCTTGGCTGTACAAATAAAAACATGGTATAAATGGAGAGCCTGTTCCCATCGCGTTCGTCAACACAAGCTGATGCTCCCGCTAATCAACGCTGTTCTCATGACAGTGCCTGGTCAAGTATTTTCTGAAATCAAAAGATGGATAATGATAATAATTATTGTGATAACAGTATTGATAATAATAATAACTATCTGGCTCATCATGAAATGGGATAAACATATTTGACAGAAAAAAATAAATGTCCTATGCTATATGACTTTACTGATCTTAGTATGGTTTTAGCAGTCATTCCAGCAGGCGGGGGCATACAAGAAATGGGCTTGACACGTTGTACCTATGTTGGGAATAGAACCTTTGGTGTGACGAGCGAACGCTTTGACCTTTATGCCACCCCACCACCCTAATTATCTTTGTCAGAAAACAACATTCTCACTGAGTGAGTTGGTTTTAATACCTATTTTAAGAGTATTCGAGTTATATCACGGCGTGTCAGTTTAATGTGGGATAAAAGCCGAAGTGATACAGGTATCAGGCGTTTAAAACTTTATTGAAACCCACGAGCACGGGTATGGTGCTGACAAACCTAGAAACAATCCAAGCGAACCGAGATTCGAACCCATAATCACAGGTTTCTGGCGTCCCCAAGGGACGCAATTCTGCACAGACGACTGGGCCACCCGTGTCCCCGAGTCAGATTAAAAGTGGTAACAATCGTTCAACATACTTTGATTTTGGCAGGGATTTCGTATGAATATAGAAAGGGTTGTGCCACTTTTATTTACGATAGAAATGGGACCGCCTTCCTGGTCCGGAGGGCGGAAGGTCCGGGGTTCGATCCCCGGCCGCGTCATACCAAAAGACGTTACAAGATGGTACTTGTTGTTACCCTGTCTGGCGCTCGGCATTAAGGGACTAAAATATAGACTAGTCAGCTCGGAGTCAGTATACTGTGTCTGAGTTGGGTATTCATGTTAAACTGCGGCATAGTATCTCAGTGAGCTAGCACTATAAATCGGCATCAGTCCGGACTGGTACAAGCAGCCACACCAACACACACACACACACACACACACACATGAACGTCGCTATATAAGTGCAATAATCTTGGACGCGACGTTAAAACCAATTTCACGTCACCTACGACAGAAAAGATATCATGGATCATCATGGAATGACATTAATATGTTATTTTTTTCTTACTTTTATACTCCATTTTTATCAGTGGTACATGATCATGTCATGATATTCATCGCCAATGTTGATATTTTACATTAACTTTTCGATGGACAGAGATAAGGGCATAATAAGGTATAGGCAATTTCTAATTTTGTACAATTATATGTATTTATGTTTGTTATTCGACAGGAAACGATTACACAGGAAATATTACACATTAGTGTGGAATAGTCTTGTGTAATAACTTCCCAATATTTTCACATGTGCTTTATAGAGATTCCCAATATTGATTGGTCAAATAAAGCCTATGACGTCACAGCGCTTCGGTGTTGAGAAGAAATACGATATGACGTCATAAATTGATTACATGACACCATCTGAACAATAGGATGCCTTCAGTGAAGTATATCTGTAGGGTTGACATTTCATACATTCATTGTGTTTATTCTTTATTTTCTCTCTTAAAATGTCAACGAGTAATATCAATAACCTACTACATAATTATGGATTGTCTGTCCCCCGTGAATTAATGGTGTAAGTCCCTCACCAAAGGTTCAGGATTAACACCATTCATTCGGAACATATCATCTGTAATTCCTCGTAGCTCTCTGAGGCGCCGCGATTCTGATGATTGTGGGTTCGAAAACCTAGTTTCTAGGTTTGTCAGCACCATACTCGTGCTCGTGGGTTTCATCGAAGTGGTAAACGTCTGAGACTTGCATCACTTCTAGCTTTCCTATATGACGGCGGTCTGTACATAATCGAGTCTGGACCAGACCGTCCAGTGATTGATGAGCATCGATCTATGCAATTGGGCTACAATGACATGCATCAACCATCAACCAAGTCAGCCATCCTGACCACCCGATCCCGTTAGTTGCCTCTTTCGGCAAGCATGGGTTGCTGTGACCTCCTATTCTAACGCGGATCTTCACGGATTCCGAGTCAGATTGAAAGTAGTTACCACATAAAGTGTTATATATCATGCGAGTTCAATATCGATCCTTGTCACTTTCAGATAAATATATCATTTTTAAATACATAATCATGTGTGTCATCCTTATGTCAATCAACGTGTCCGAGGCCCATTTCTGGTGACCTCCGCCGTGATATGGCTGGAATATTCCTAAACGTGACGTAAACCCATACTCTCAAATTTTAACCAACGCGCAGGAGTATGGAGCTGAAAACCAAGTAACAGGTAAATCTGGCATTGGAACCCACGATCACAGTAGTCGGGCACGTCGAAGGGAAGCAGCTCTGCAATTAGATCGTGGTGCCTAGATGAATGTACCACTCGTGTCCCCTAGAATCCGACGAAGGATAAAGCCTTGCCAATAATACGGAATCTTATTTCACAGACTCACCATTTCATCTGAAAGTAATCCCATCGTCTTGCCATTCGCCAAAGCTGGTAGATGAAGCTTGCTCCTTTCGACCCACCCCTTCAGCCTCCCCTCCATCTTTGAAATCACCTGCTCAGTGGCACTGGCTGCCGGAAGTGACACCGTGGTGTCCAGGCGCATGTGCAGCCGCTTCAGAATGAGGGCCCACTCATCTTCTTGGCAGTCGGTTGGTTCGACAGTGTGTTCCTGAACTAGTCGACGTTTTCCTTTGGAGGCATTCCTGCTTTTCGTCTCCTTCAACGTTTTTAGGAGTCGCTGGTCTTCAAGTTTCATATTTAGGAATTTGAGGAAGGCACAGTTGCCGGATGTTGTCTGGTGAATGTAGAGACACAGACGTGTCGCCAGGTCCTCTTTCAGCTTCACCACAGACTGGGTGGCGTACTTCCGCTTGAACATCCGGTCGTACTGACCTCTGCGCAGAACGAGCATGTCGCAAGCAGCCGTGGTCGTGGCGGTCTCAATGTAACTCTCTAGGCCAAGGACCATCTCCAGAGCACCTGGAAAATACATGCAGGTGTGTTTTTAGATTTGTGGAAACTGACGATGGGAACAGCTTTAGTCAAATAGGTGCAAAAGTGTGATAGACTGTTGGAACTATATTCCAGCTACAGAATGGACAGACAAACCAGTGGTGGACAGCACGAGCACTGATCCACACAGTCGGGGTCCGAGGCCACACTCTCAACCATATCACATTTGTCACCATGTGTCCTTAGTTTGTCCCCGGAGACCTACTCCACCTAGAGACGGGCATGGGGTACTGGGGACCTATTCCACCCAGAGACGGGCATGGGGTACTGGGGACCTATTCTACTCCGGGAGACTGGCATAGGGTACTGGGGACCTATTCTACTCCGGGAGACTGGCATGGGTACTGGGGACCTATTCTACTCCGGGAGACTGGCATGGGGTACTGGGGACCTATTCTACTCCGGGAGACTGGCATAGGGTACTGGGGACCTATTCTACTCCGGGAGACGGGCATGGGGTACTGGGGACCTATTCTACTCCGGGAGACTGGCATAGGGTACTGGGGACCTATTCTACTCCGGGAGACTGGCATGGGTACTGGGGACCTATTCTACTCCGGGAGACTGGCATGGGGTACTGGGGGACCTATTCTACTCCGGGAGACTGGCACAGGGTACTGGGGACCTATTCTACTCCGGGAGACTGGCATGGGGTACTGGGGACCTATTCTACTCCGGGGGAGGCATAGGGTACTGGGGACCTATTCTGCCCCGGGAGATGGGCATGGGGTACTGGGGACTTATTCTACCCCGGGAGACGGGCAGGGGATACTGGGGACCTATTCTACTCCGGGAGATGGGCATGGGGTACTGGGGACCTATTCTACTCCGGGAGATGGGCAGGGGATACTGGGGACCTATTCTGCTCCGGGAGACAGGCATGGGGTACTGGGGACTTATTCTACCCCGGGAGACGGGCAGGGGATACTGGGGACCTATTCTACTCCGGGAGATGGGCATGGGGTACTGGGGACTTATTCTACCCCGGGAGACGGGCAGGGGATACTGGGGACCTATTCTACTCCGGGAGATGGGCATGGGGTACTGGGGACTTATTCTACTCCGGGAGACGGGCAGGGGATACTGGGGACCTATTCTACTCCGGGAGACGGGCATGGGGTACTGGGGACTTATTCTACTCCGGGAGATGGGCATAGGGTACTGGGGTTTATTCTTTCCCTGAATCTGACAGACATGTGATACTGGGGACGATGACGGTCGAGGGCCGGAAGGGGACTGTGTACCTACCTAGATGCTCGTTCTCCCCCAGGAAGCAGATCTGATGTGCCTTGTGTTCGTTCTTTCTCTTGCGTAACATTTCGTGGGGAGACACCGACACGTTCTTCTTGCTGCAAACGATGAATTAAATAATGAAGGCAGTTATTCTCCGGGTAATAATATATATACAGTCTTTGACGATGATAAGTTTGGACTGTGGGAACTGTGGGTAATTGAATTACACATACATGCATTGTCAATTTGTTCAAAATGTGTTTTGGTTTAACGTGTCGTGTACAATGAGACAATGTTTATAACAAAATCAAGTATTTTTTTAAAGACGTCTTGAATTCCAGCATTTATATAAAACAGTTCCCCACAGACACACCTTACAAGAAAATGTATTATATATCTACAGATTATTATATATCCACAGAACGCACCTCCAAAAGGCGCTTAAATGCATGGGTGCTTGTTTTCCACAGTGGTTCCCAAAGTTTGAACCGTTGATGTCAGTTTAATTATGAAATTCATTCGTCTAATAACTTAGGCGACGGAGCCACGCGAACCCCTGTCTGTGCTTTAAGAATTATATCGACCTGACATCAATATTCTCTGAATTTCCAACGTAGAGTGAGTGAGTGAGTGAGTTGGGTTTAATGCCGCTTTTGACAGCATTCCAGTTATATCACTGCGTGTCAGCTTAATGTGAGAGGAAAGCCCGAAGTGATGCATGTCTCAGACGTTTACCACTACGGTGAAACCCACGAGCACGGGTATGGTGCTGACAGACCTAGAAACATAATCGGGGCGAACCGGGATTCGAACCCACAATCATAGGTTTCTGGCGGGCCCAAGGGACGCAACTCTGGACAGCGAATCGCGGCGCCTTAGACAAAGGGGCACCCATGCCCCTCCAACGTAGAAACAAAGTCGAAAAAACAAAGGCTATCTCCCAAAAGTTTACCTCTGACCGTTGTCCATATATTTATCGTATTTATTAAATAAAGCGTCATTGGTAAAAACATGGGTGATAGTTACACTTTCTAACCAGATAACTTGTTGTCTCATCGCATGACATGAAATAGATATGGTTATTATATCTTCAGATAATTAAAATTGTTCATCACAAATTACGTTCAAAATAAATTTATATTTGTAAACAATATTTGTACAGGTCAATCGCGTTATGTTATAAACAACAATATTTGTATGAGGCAATCGTGATACATTTTAGTGAGTGAGTGAGTATGGCTTTAGGCCCCTTTTAGCAATATTCCAGCTATATCACGGCGGGGGACACCAGAAATGGGCCTCACACATTGTACCCATGTCGGGAATGGAACCCGGGTCTTCGGCGTGACGAGCGAACGCTTTAACCACTAGGCTACCCGACCGCCCTGATACGCTATAAATAATACTATTTGCAGGCATGGATCAATCGTGATACGTTACAAAATAACAAAATATTTGTATGGGGCAATCGTGATATGTTATATATAACACAACCTGTATGGGGCAATCGTGTTTTTTCTGCGGTATATAAGACTACTGGATCCTATACTAAAGTTGCTGTTTTCAAGAAAGGGGGTAGATATCTAAACATGAGAAATGGTTCTTCGGTCCAGAAAGACTAGAAGTAGTATCATACTACAAATATCTTGGCTTAACAATTTCATGTCGAAATTTATTTACAAAAGCATGTGAAGACCTTTCAAGGCAAGCAGATAAAGCAATGTATTTAGCGAAGAAGTTTATTAGTGAATTTCGAAATATCGCTGTTTAGGATATTTGATGGTAAAATACAGCAAATACTGACGTACGGCGCGGAACTTTGGGGAACCTTATATCGCCACAGTATTGAGAAAAATCATACAAAATTTTGTAAGTTTGTTCTTGGCGTCGGCTGCCGGTCACCAAATAAGACAATTTTAGCAGAATGCGGAAGTCACCCGATATATATACATATACACGATCAATGTAGGGTTATCTCATACTGGATACGTTTGCTCAGACAACCAGATACACGATACTCCAGACGATGCTATTATATGCTTAAGCGCCTTGATGACATTGGGGATATAATCTGGGCTTCAGCTGTTAGAGAAACTCTTTTTTCGCATGGATTTGCATACGCGCGGATATACCAGGATGTTGGAAATAAAATAATGTTCTTAACAATGTTTAAACAACGATGTAAAGATATGTATTGTCAAGGCTGGTCAGCTGTTATAAGATGATCAAAATCGCTACATGCCTATTCAGTGTTTAAGATGGAAATGATACCAGAAATGTATTTAACAACAAGTCGAGCTTTATCTTTACGCAGATGTTTAACTTTTGTTTGTTTGATGTTTAACGCCGCACTCAGCAATATTCCAGCTATATGACGGCGGTCTGTAAAATAATCGAGTCTGGACCAGACAATCCAGCGATTGACATCATGAGCATCGATCCACGCATTTGGGATCGATGACATGTATCAACCAAGTCAGCGAGCCTGACCACCCGATCCCGTTAGTCGCCTTTTACGACAAGCATAGTCGCTTTTTACGGCAAGTGTGGGTTGCTGAAGACCTATTCTACCCCGGAATCTTCACGGGTCAGGGGTGTTTAACGAAGTTCAGGTGTGGTATAATATACAATTATACAGACACTCCAAAGATAATGATGTTTTAACATCGATGTGTCCTTTCTGCAAATATTACCAAGAAGATGAATACCATGTTTTATTGATATGCCCAGTATATGAAGATATAAGAATCAAATACCTCCCTAACTATTATTATACGTATCCATCACAAAGAAACTTTGTACAGTTAATGAACAGCAAAATAAGCCATATTCTTCTCAGACTTGCAGTTTGTGTTTATAAGATTTTTGAAAGGAGGATAATACATTGAATATAAATAAAACTGTGTACACCATATTTAGCTACAATCTAATCAGTATACAAGTGGTGCTCCACGACGAAGTTTCTTACAACAAAATGGCATTGTACTATTTGCCTCATGGCCACACATACGAAATAAATCTGTCTGTCTGTCTGACTACTGAGTGAGTGAGTATGGTTTTACGCCCCTTTTAGCAATATTCCAGTAATATCACGAAGGGGGACACCAGAAATGGGCTTCACACATTGTACCCATGTCGGGATTCGAACTCGGGTCTTCGGCGTGACGAGCGAACGCTTTAACCACTAGGCTACCCGACCGCCCCGTCTGACTACTGGATCCCACAGACATCATGTCATTGTTTACTGCACCGTAATGAGTGAGTGAGTGAGTGAGTTGGGTTTAACGTCGCGTCCAAGATGATTCCATTTATATAGCGACGTGCATGTACGTGTGTGTGTTTGTGTGGCTGCTTGTACTAGTCCGGACTGATGCCGATTTATAGTGCTAGCCCACTGAGATACCATGCCGCAGTTTTACATAAATACCCCACTCAGACACAGTTTACTGACCCCGAGCCGACCAGTCCTTGTTTTAGCCCCTTAATGCCGAGCGCCAGGCAGGGTAACAACAAGTACCATCTTTAAACGTCTTTTGGTATGACGCGGCCGGGGATCGAACCCCGGACCTTCCGCTCTCCGGGCGGACGCTCTACCACTAGACCACGGAGGCGGTTTAATGAGTGAGTGAGTGAGTTGGGTCCAACGCTGCTTTGAACTGTATTTCAGTTGTATTTGGGAGAAACACCCTTACAGATCGTAGACGTTTACAACACGAACGTGGGTATGGTGCTGACAAACCAAGAAACCCAATCAGGACGAATTTGTTATTCGAACCCACGATCACAGGTTTCTGGCACGCCTAAGGGAGGTTACTCTGCACAGCGGACAGCAACGACGTCGACAGGGTCACCCACGACGCTACTTCATCACAAACTTGCGTTGAGGTAAGATTATGAAGGCATGCGACAAGAGGGTTGATTGTATTTTTTCTAATTAACAGCATGTGTGCAGCACACACATTAACTATTCCCGACGAGTGGCCACACTTGATGTCCGTGCTCCATAGGGCAATCAACGTCGCCCGTGGGAGGTGAGAGTTGGGGTAATTGTGTTTACAATCCAAGCACAGCCCTTCTGAATGAATCATTTCAAGGTCACGTCCAAGCGCTTTCCCATGCAGTTCATATTGCTTTGTTGAGATGGAAGCCGATAAGAAAGTATCGAGACGAGATCGGGATCGATCAAGCAGGACGAAATAATACAGCAATTCTCGGTTCAGCCTGGCTGGAGGTTGCTGCAAGTCAGGTGTTCGGATTCTATAGATCCAGTAGAGCGTCCTTGCTGAGTGTAAACTGGGAGGGCAGAGTATCATAGGGGCTTAGGTGGGATAAGGGTAGGGCTTGGGTAGGTATGGGCGAAGTTTGGATAGGATGAGGGTAGGGTATTGGTGAAGTTTGGGTGGAGTTGAGGGTTTGGTTAGGTAGTATTGATGTAGGGTATAAGTAGAGTTAGGGGTTAGGATAGGGTAGTATTAGAGTAGGGTATTGGTGACGTTTGGGTGGAGCTTAGGGTTAGGATTGGGTAGTATTAGGGTAGGGTAGGGGTGAAATTTTGGTAGAGTTAAAGGTTTGGTTTGGTAGTATCAGGGTAGGGTATGGGTGAAGTTTGGGTAGAGTTAAGGGTTAGGATTGGGTAGTATTAGGGTAGGGTATGGGTGAAGTTTGGGAAGAGTTAAGGGTTTGGTTTGGGTAGTATTAGGGTAGGGTATGGGTGAAGTTTGGATAGAGTTAAGGGTTTGGTTTGGGTAGTATTAGGGTAGGGTATGGGTGAAGTTTAGATAGAGTTAAGGGTTTGGTTTGGGTAGTATTAGGGTAGGGTATGGGTGAAGTTTGGGAAGAGTTAAGGGTTTGGTTTGGGTAGTATTAGGGTAGGGTATGGGTGAAGTTTGGATAGAGTTAAGGGTTTGGTTTGGGTAGTATTATGGTAGGGTATGGGTGAAGTTTGAGTTAAGGGTTTGGTTTGGGTAGTATGGGTGAATTGTTGGTGAGCTCTGGGTAGAGCACTGAGCTGATTTTGGAAAGACTCGGGTGGTGTTTTGGTTTCAGACAACGACACCAAAAGGCCAGAATATGACGCTAAACAGTTGTTTGGGATCGAGGTTCACTAATTACATGT